TCTCCAAGCGTGGAGTACCGGAAGAAATAGTGTCCGACCGGGACAAGCTGTTTACGTCCAAATTCTGGAAGGCATTGACGAGTTTCCTCGGAACCAAACGAAAACTCTCAACAGCATTTCACCCTCAGACAAATGGAGGAAATGAACGGATGAACCAAGTCGTTGAAGCATACTTGCGATGCTACATCAACTACCAACAAGATAACTGGGTAGGACTGCTGCCACTTGCAGAGTTCGCCTACAACAGCTCGACCACGGAAACAACCAACGTAACACCATTCTTCGCCAACTACGGTTACGAACCTGTCGCATACAGAGAACCCAACCTGACGGTTGAGGATAATGATGCGGCTCGCATCCAGGTCCAGAAGATTCAGGACCTACACAAGGAATTATCCCAGGAACTCCAGTTCGTAGCAGAAAGAAACGCACACTACTACAACAAAACGCGTAGCCAGGAGCCAACGCTACAGGAGGGGGATAGGGTTTATCTTTTACGGAAAAACATCAACACGCAGCGGCCAAGCGACAAATTGGACCACAAGAAATTAGGACCGTTCAAGATCAAGCAAGTCAAAGGACCTTTGAATTACGAACTCCAACTGCCGAACACGATGAAGAAGGTATTCCCAGTATTCCATATATCCTTATTGGAAAAAGCACCACCGGGCGCACCACCAGCCCCAAAAACAATCGCAGAACCCATCAATCCGCTTGAAGAATACGAAGTAGAGGAACTGCTGGATTGTCAGTACAAGTACGGTATCATCAAATACCTAGTGAAATGGAAGGATTACCCACAATCCGAGAACACTTGGGAACCTAGGTCAAACCTTCGCTGCCCGAAGCTGCTTGCCAGTTTCCATCAACGAAACCCAGGTCTGCCCAGAGCGGGTCCTCAGGGTCGAAGGGAAGGCCGACCGTCGGGTCGTAGGGGGGGTCGACGTCGCCGGAACTAGGACGTTCCGCGCCTGCCAACTCAGCACTTTTCTGTGCCTCCTCCGCCTTCCGCTTCTCCTCAGCTTCCTTTTCCAACGCTTCGAGAGCGTCGAGCTCTTCCATTGAGTTCAGCCCGGCAGCAATCATCTTCTGCCGCCTTTCGTAGAGGAAACGTTTCTGTTTCTTCAAACGAAGGATTTTCGCCATCGCCTCCTCTTCCTCGGCATCCAACTTCTCGATCTGGGAGTCAAGGGACTCCCAATCCAACGCTGTCGGCATGCGGTTCACGGTACGCACATCGCATGTCTTGTTTAGACGGGCACATCGACCACACCGAGTCAGTTTGGGATCGCGGGGCGACACACAGTCTTTGCAATTCGCATTTTCACATCTGGTACAGGGTGCCATGATTTTTCCACTCAATTCAATCTGTCGCCCAAGCGCAATATGATCGACTCTTTTGGTTGAGCGTTCGGGTGGCATGATGAAAGAAGAAGACGGCCGTGGGCAGTCGTCGATATTTCCTTAGGCATACTTAAGCGTGAGGACACGCTAGGCTGGAAGGGGGATAGTGTCACGAACCAGGCTCAGTCTTGGTACAAGTCACGGGTTGGCACCATAATACTGATGGTACTACCAAGTGGATGGCACCAGTCGGTGTTTGGTACCAAAGGGTTGATGGTACCATTGAGAGAATGGCACCAACAAGAGAATGGTACGAATTAGCGAGTAGTACCATACTCCACGCTCGTTGTCATAATAATAGTTATGTTGATCACGGTGGACATGGGTCACGTGATGTGCTAGCTTGCTAGACGGGCTTGCGGGCTTGCGCGCCCTGCAAGACGTCTTGCACGGCTTGCACAGGAAGTCGGAAGTTCTATATAACGAGTAGGTAGTTTCCTAGATAGTAGAGCTTCGTGCTCAAATCAAATAGCAAGTTTACACCTAGTTTACCACTGCTTGTAACGTCTCAATTCCTATTGAGAATCGAGCGTCTTGTTACCTTACTTCATAGCTGATACCAACCGACGAGTCTGTACTCACGACACCGACCGAGTTAGAAACGTTACAGGAAGGTTAGCTATAGAAAACACAGTAGGAGATACTAAAGGAGCGTCTGATTAACGCCTCCCTAAATAGACTTAACTAGCAAACGCGTCTAATAACACTTCACTATTAAGATATAGTAGGAAATAGTATAGAAAATAACACTTCGAGTAAGCTACTTAGGTAATAACTACGAAGCTATACTCTTAGTAAATCCTTAATAAGGCACTAACCTGTTAAATAGCGCTAATTACGCTAGAGGGTGAACTTATACGACCTCTTAAGGTTATAACTGTCGCAGAGGCTCTAAGGGAGAATCCAGTGGAATAGAAGGCCGCTATTCTTAAGGAATTACAAGCTATATAAAGCGCTGGAACCTATAGAGTATACTTTGGTAAGCCTCCCTCCGGCTTAAAACTGATATCTTCAAGACTAGTTCTACATAATAAAATCAACTCCGATAGCTCTATAGCACGGCGAAAGGCTAGGCTCGTAGTAAGAGGCTTTAAGTAAAAACACGGCCTTGACTACTTCAATACCTTCGCGAGCGTTGTACGCTATTCCACCTTATAAGCACTACTCGCTATTACGGCTAAAAGAGACCTAGAGATCGAGCATATCGATATTGATACTACTTTCCTAAACACGTACCTAAAAGAAGATATATATATAACAATTCCGAACAACGAGACGCCGGAGATATAGAATAAGCTTCACCTAGAGCTAAATAGAAGGAAAGACGTATATCTGAAGCTCCTACGCTCTCTCTATAGCTTGAAATAAGTACCTAGGGAATAATAGCTCTTTATTAAAGATAAGATAGAAAAGCTAGGTCTAGAAGCGTTAGAAGCTGACTTTAATCTCTTTATCTTTAAGAATAGAGTATACATATTAGTCTTTATCGACGATATACTGATTATAAGTAACCCTACTAACTGCGAATATCTTAAGAAATAGCTCTTAAAGACCTGGAAAGGCAAAGACCTCGGAGCTATTAATACGTTTATAGGCCTATAAGTTAAGAGAGACAGGAAGAATAAGACTCTACGGATTTATTAAATAGCTTACATATAAAAGCTACTAGAAAGGTTTGGAATAGCTGTAGCTAGAGGTAATGCCTTACCTGTAGCCGCTGGAATAGTACTAAAGGAGTTAGCTAAAGATGAAAGTGTTATACTAGTCTCCCCTGAAGAGATCTCACTGTTTTAGCAGATTATCAGCTCTCTAATATACTTCTCGAACTTCATACAACCTGATATTACCTATATAATAGGCCAGCTAGCGCGGCATATATTAAATCCCCTTAAATCTCACCTCTAAGACACGAAACCTCTCCTCTGATATCTATAATATATAGAAGGTGACAGAATAACGTTTAGAATCGGAATAGAATATAGGGGAAAGCTAGATAATAATATATTTAATATTTAAACTAACGCTACGTAGGGGACGGAATATAATAGGAAATCGTTCCAAGGATAGATAGTAAGGTTCTACAGGGGTCTAATCTCTTAGGCTACTAATAGGTAAAGGTCTACAGCTCTCTCTAGCTTAGATTCTAAGATAATAGCTGCTAGTGATAGCTCTAGAGAAGTAGCCTAGTTACTTAAGCTATAGAAAGACCTCGATATAAAGCTATCCCGAATTCCTACGCTATATCTCGATAATACTAGAGCTGAATCTCTCTTAAAAGAACGGAAATTCTATCTAAAGGTAAAGTATATTAATATCCGCTAGTTCTATATTCGAGACAATATAGTTTTATATAATAAGTTAGTAGTAAAACACGTTCTAGGTAATAATAATATAACAGATACTCTTACGAAAGCTTTACTTTCAGAATCGTTTAAACGATATAAGACATATATAGGGTTACTTAGTAATAACTAATTCTCTGATAACAACTCTAAGATTAACAACAGTTAGCTAATTAACAGTAGATCTGTATAAATCAAGGCTATTTCTAGTAGTGGAACCTATAAAAAATAGAATATTCTTCGCGGAAAATCAGTCTTTTAATAAACATCTTCCTTAACGATAATATATAACTGCGAATCAAGTAAAACACGATATATAACTACTATACCTAATAGTTAAGACGAATCTTGTTCCGCGGTTAAAGGAAGAAGGAAAGGAAACAGAACTAGAAGAGGACGACCTTTATATACCCTAGAGGCTAGAGAGAAAGCTAGTAAGGAATATCTTAGTAGCTACAAAAGGAAGGTGCGAGATAGCTATAAAGAAGAGTAAATAAGAGCGGCAGGAGCAGGAGATCATTAATAAGGGAGCGATTTAGGTGCACTCTTATACCGTTTTATATGCCTTGATACTACAAAGTTGCTGAACTCCTAGGAAAACAGGAGACGTAGGCACTATATATATACTAGTATATTACAGGAGTTAATAAGGCACAATCGAGGCTCCTTATATAATATAAGTTATCGGTAATACTTCGGCGATACTCTAGCGTCGCTTCGGGAATATTCAGCGCTGTACTGCTTTAGAAGGCTCTATTTACTACAGATATAGAGAATAGGGGGGCTGTTAGAAATATGGGGATTGTAGGCGTAGACTCAGTACTGTAGGCCGTACTACTGAGTACGCTACCCCTTTATATAGGAGATTCTCTCTCTCTGTAGTAGCTCCTTATGCAACTGCAATTATGACAAAGCGAGCGCCCCTGAAAAGCCTCTCGCTAAGGAAACCAACAAAACATCACAGTCGCAAGCCACAAACTCAGAATCAGCTAGAACACGTTCCAATCTGTGCAAGACTTCCCGTCACCAAGACCTGGACCTCGTTCAATACTTGGCATGGCTTTCATCAAAAACGATAAGGATTAGTGCAGTGCGGCTGAAGGCCCAGCCCGAGAAGTGGACCCCTCTGCCCCTCCCGCTACCCCTCCATGTGTGACCATCAAATAATGCCAATTTCCCAATACCATCTCAAAATCCGGTGCTCATGATTTTGGTACGCTTTAGATTTGGGCCGGTATATCTGATATCTACACCATGGATTTGTTCAAAAAAGCTCGAAAGCAGGTGAAGGCTGCTGTGAAGGATGTCCAGCAACAAGTCAATCAGATTTCCAGCGGAACGCACCAACAGCCTGCAAACACACAATTGTATGGAAACAACCAGCAGCAATTTTATGCTCCTCTTCAACAGCCTCCTCAGAAAACTCAATATCTTGCTTATGGACAGCAGGCTTACCCATCTCCACCACCACAGCACCAGTATTCTTCTCCGACTGCTGCTTATGGATATCCCGGACAAACGCAGACACAAACGGGTTACCAACCCCAGAATCAACAACAATATTTCCCACCTCCGCAGTCATACCCACCGCCGCCATCAACATCTAGCCCTGCTCAGACTCCCGGCTCTGCTCATCGGCAGCCAGTTCCTGAATACCAACCCACCTACCAGCAGCCACCGACTCAACAACCACACCAATATCCTCTTTACCAAGACTCAAATCAACCGCCTACGCCTCTACCAACTCCTGCATCAGGCTATCCGCCAGCCGCGCCTCAGAATGTCTCAGGAGCCCATTATTTTTCCTCCACCGCCCCAGAAATCCCAACTGCCGGTCCTCTAGATCCCACTAAACCGCCTAGTTCTGATCCAGTTCAACAGCTCGAGGCACAGTATCGAGGACTTGACATTGGAGGCGTGGCCCAATCGCAAAACTCACAAAATGGGCCACATACAAATATACCACAGCAATATCAAACAAGCTCTGCAATATCTCCAACCTCAGCTAGTCCTTGGAAAACGAAGTGCCCCCTATTCGAAGAGGTCCTAAGCGATGTGGTTCCATTCTACGAATTGAATACCATAGTTCTGCAGTCTCACTCCATGCCAGTTCCTCCAGCATCTATCGTACTCGTCTGCGAGTACTGCTTCTTGACGGTTCTGGCACCGCATCCACATCTAGCAAGTTGTTTTACTATACGACCGAAAGATGAACGGCCTGCAGACAAGACCCATCCCCAGATCTCTTTCGAAAGGATCGGTGGGTGTGCTTTAGCCTTTCCTCGAATAAGAAGTACCGTTATCAATCAGTGTATTCCGCAGAGGTCAATCACACCGTTCGTCGAATACTGCAGGCTTGATGCAGACCTCGGTGCGTGTCAAGGAGGATCTGCGACTGGACCATACTATACATGCAAAGCTATCGATTCTTTGGCTTTCTGCAATAGTTGCTATGAATGCTTCATCGTCGGTACGCCGTTCCAAAGGAACTTCACGAAGCAGCATATGCCAGAGCCTCACATGGAATGGGGTTGCGACCTGGGATATAGCGGGTTCTGTAACCGAACACTTTTGGCAGATCTCAATAAAGCTCGACCCGATTTCGCTCATGTTGCAGCTGCCATGAACAAGAAACTCAGTTTTGCTCCTTGTGCTGGAGAAGGGAATGCGATGTTCCCGGCCGGAGCAGGTCTTTCATACGCCTACCGGTCTGTGGCCGACAATAGTGGTGTGTTCTGCTCCACTTGCTTCTACAATGACGTCGCAGGGACTCCTGCGGAGAAGTATTTCGGTTATGCCTTCGAGCTGGAAGAACCTCAGAAAGGAACTCTCTGTTGTGACTTGGCGAGTCCCTTTTCCAAATACGCAATGACCACTGCAAGGAATGCCACTGACTTCAGCCTTTGGCTTGATCCCATTCAGGCCCATCACTCTCTGCCATTGTGCCCTTCAATTGCTGGCACTGATGAAGCAGACATGCCTTCCATGGGAGAAAATTGGCAAACTTGGTACCACTTCAGAGATCATCCAAACATCGAGTGCTGCCCACGCTGCTACCGAACAAATGTCGCTGTGCTAGAAGCCAAGCACTTATTCGTTCCAATCACGAGAGAGTTGAAACCTGGAATGATTCGTCAATGCTACCTATCGCCATCCAAAGATATGACGGTATCCGAGAGTTGGGATCCGATGGACTATGAGAATACAACTTTCTGGAGGGGAAACTATATCAGAAATCTTTTGAGATATGGACACTTTGCCGGAAACGATTTCACAGTTGCCATCACCGAAATAAAGAAGATTGCTGAGTTACCAAAACCTTGTGGCTCAGAACTTAGGCGCTTCAAGCCGGTCAATGGAAGGAAGTGGTTTGGTCATGTCGCTGGCGACCCAAATGATCCCAACGATGCGACTCTTCTTATGTGCGAAGAATGCCATCTTTATTCCGTCAAAGGCACACCATTAGAGAGTCTCTTGAGCAACGACCTCACACATCTCACGTTTGATAATCCAGAAGGTCATCGCTGCAGTACCTGGTCCAAGCAGTGCAAGCGGCGTCTTCGGACTGCCTGCGAGACTAGCAACTTTGCATCATATGCTCAGTATCACCACAAGAGAGAAGAAGTGTACGCCCGGATATGGAGGAGTATAGAAGAGCTGAAGCCTCTGGGTGAGCTGGTCAAGGGACACACTGCGAGGATCAATGCCGAGACACAGATGAATATCCAGATGGGCAGCATTAGGCTGGCACAGCAATTGAACGCTCAGCAGAACGCAATTATTTCTGGGGTTGGGGGAAGTGTTGCTGAGGCTGCTGCGACTGACCACGGGTATAGATATGGCAATTCTACAGTAGGTCTTAATTTTCTGGTGATGACTTCAAGATGCTGATTTAGTTGATAGGTTGGTATGGGTTACCTCACCCACAGCGGCGCGAGTGCTGCCATGGCACATCACAATGCTGCGAACAGTCGATACGAACCTCCACTCGATCTTAATGTGTGGCGAAATGCGCCTCTGGAGCAGCTGACTACAGAGTACCAACGGAGACTTGATGTTCATAGTCAGATACAGGAAGAGTGGAAAGCAATTGACTGAATTTTTTTTCATTTTGCTACACGATCACAATACAAGGAGTCTGGTCTCTGACTGGGTCTGCGAATACTACTTAATTCTTTAGATAGCTCGAGCTGCTTCTCTACGGCTCACATGTTTCAAACGTCTAGATATCCGAATTATACAACAAATTCAAGCTCTGGGATGATTTTCATTCGAAAATAATTTGATGACAAGAGACTAATCCACGCCATAAGCTAGTATTGCCCTGGGTCATTTTTGTCTTGAGTGGTACAGTTTGGGTCCGTCGCAAGGTAAACGAGGCTAGGCCTTTCTCGCCTTGTGCGAAAGACGGGAGCAGCCTACTCCTGTTAGCTAGTTCGATTTAAAAGTTCGAGCTTCAAAATCTCAGTCTAAGATTCTGATTAGCGCTCTAGTCAGTCGATATTCACATTGGACATTTAAAGAGCACTCCTTCACTTTGACCTTACATTCAAAATTCTCTCAAGCTCGACTTCCTCATCCATTATCCACCCCCATTGCGCATTGATATCAAAGGAATTGCCAGTACAACAGCGAATTCCTCCAAATTCAGCGAGCGAACTGCAATATCTCCACTTAAAGCTGCCATACCGAAGCGACTCGAAAGTCAGGACCTGAGATGGAAACAGCTACAATGGCGCAATCAATCGAGTTCTATAACATTCCCTACGATATCAGGCTTGCCTTGTTCCAAAGGGCTTTGCAAGACGAGTCCAGAGTTGCCAATGCTGACGCAACATTAGCAGAAGGTATTGATACTGATACCATCGCCATACCTGGAGCCGGTACCCACGAATCATCTGTCAACATAGTAAACAGCTTTAGAGGCAGCATAGTGCCAGCAAGATATTTATATGTGGACTTGGCGATCGTCTTCTTTGCTCCTGAGATCAAGGATTCGCCACATTTCTTGCAATTCCTCTTCAGCACTCAACCAATCAGGCACGCAATCGAAAATCCCAAGAGTATCTTCTTCATTGCAGATGTATTTTCATTCACCAAGCCACTTATTGAGGATTCTGAGGCTCTAGAAAGTCTGTTCGCGCATGCCACCAAGCTTTGGAGGGAAGAAAGGTCTAATAAAGAACGTTGGGCTTTCTGGGAAAAGGCACACAGATTAAGATTGGGAGAGCCTCCCGTCACGTGGGATCCTCAGGGAACGGTGGAAAATATTGCATTCTCGCTACGGAGCATTCTTCGCCTCCCCCATAGTACAGATGATGAGATTAGAAAGGACTTTTACAGGGCAATATTGACGATGCCACATCTCAAGATCATATATTTAGTCGTTGACTATGATCAGACGGGTAGAAAAGGACAGTCACAATCTTCTCGATTCAAGAAATTCGTTTGCAGGATCGATACGGTCTATGAGGGAACTGGAACAGAAAGGAAGCAGAGAAAGACTCTAAGCACCTTCGACGTTGTCAGCCTTCAGGAAGCACTCAAAGCAAGGAGCACTATGCAAAGCTACCAAGACGAAAATAAGTCTTCGCTATGTCCGAAGATCGAGATTGTCTCGTGGGCGTAGAGCAGCAGGAGCGAGAACTTGCAAGGAAATTGTTGTGCTGGGAAATGCTCCTACTAACGATGGTTTATTTTTCCACGACACTGCCTTGGTACCAGAAGTGACCAGAGTTATTTTTACATACTATGTATCGTGCTGCATTGGCGAGCAGCCCCTACAAAGCTTCGGTATGGCAATATCCTTCTTGATAGGAAGGACTATAGACAATGGAATACATATCACGCTGAATTACATTCACATGGTTTTGATTTATAAATCGTGCTTTACAATGAATAGAAGCCTACTTTGAAGTAAGCATGATATAAGTGAGTTTGTCACATTACATTCAATATACTCATGTCGGTGTCGGGTGGTCGGATAATCTTCGATTTCGAGCTAGCCTCGCTTAGTCCACAATCAACAATGACTACCTGCTTCTACTTTACAAACGCGTTTCAGCCTGGGCTTGGAAAGCAAACACGACTTCGACTTCTTTTGAGAATGAAGTCGAGTCATCCCACTACGCACCCTGTATCTCGAAAACCAAATCCCCTATCCCAGCACCATGATTCCATCGCAGCAAGACACAGTAGCATCTGCTACAGCAGACAGCTCCGCAATCTCAAACACCGAACAGAAGAAAGACGCGGCTCCAAAGAAGCTCACTTTTCACGACATCCCTTTCGACGTTCGCGTTCTCATGTGGAAAGATTCTCTCAAGGACAAGACACGAGTCGTTCCGGCCAGAACAAGCTTGTCTGAAGGCAATGAATATCTGAAGGTCAGTTTTGGTTGATACTCGTGCTTACATGATTCAAAGAACTATCGAAGAACTATCGAGAACAGCTTCCTAACTTACAAACTTTCAGACCCACTTGTTTGAAAATCTCTATGCCAATTAATTCATCCTCAAGATTGCACCAGATAAGGGTAGGTGCTATTCAAAGTTGATTGATATTACTTGAAGTTGATTGATGCATAGAAAGTGTCGCAGAGCTTGCTGCTACCTTCTTTCAAACCGACATGGCAGGTACCAATGCTCTCAGCAAGACATTGCAGGTTGCTCAGCAAGAAGTCCTCGATGCCCAAAATATCCTCTTCGTTGGCGACCTCTTCGAGATCTTCAAACCCATCTATGAGCTTGTTGTATCACGACAGACAGTCTGGGTTCCAGCCGGCCCTAACGACACGACCGAATATGGACTGCTAGGCTCCGAAGAAAATCCACTCAAGCCGTCCTGGATGTTGGTAAGCGTAGAGCCGGAGTTGAAGGTGGAGTCTGTCGCTACAACGGAAAGCCTAGCATTCCATGCATTCGCACCCAGGTCCCTAGATTGCTATGATACAACTGTCCATATCGAATCGAGAAGCTGATGCTGCAACTTCTGCAATGGCACAAGGGTCTAAAGACGTTATACATCGTTGTGAATACGAGAGGATTTGCCAAGAACTCCGACACAATGAAGCCTAGATTCGTTCCTGGTGCAACTGGCCTAGGCAACTCTGCGACTGAAACCGCTGGACAAGAAGATGCTACCAGGGAGATAGCTTTCAAAAGGTGTGTAACGGAACAGTACCAACACGCCTTGCGCTTGAAAAAGATAATCAATAGAGAGGTCACGAAGTGGAACAACGGGGAATTCGGGGGCAATAGGTAAGGTTGCCAGTCGTTTACCACAAGATTTCAACCTTGTTCTTTCAAACATCCAACAGCTAGTGCAGTTTACAGGGAATCATCAAGGTATAACTGGTGGAAGCGGAATAATTCCGTGGATGGGCAAGGAATGGAGGTAAAGATTGTACAGTTCCACAAGTGACTTTTTGAAATTACTGTGGGCATACTTGAGAGACCAAAGAGTCTCTAGTGGCCATAACTCTCTGATAGCATAGCACTTGAACTTGGGGAAGTATCATAGTAGATGCGACCTTCGGGTTACATAGGACGCTGATACAAAATTCTTTAGCACCGTGTGAAGTGTGGTGCAGCAATGTCTCTCTTGAGTGCTATGTCTTGTGAATTACGCTTGATGTAACTATGAACACTCTTGGCATAAATCTTCTTCCTCACTTCACTTGGCTCACATCATTCGTTTATAGAGGGAGTTAGTGGTGTGTCAAATATAATTTTGTCTGGAATAGCTCGCAATGACCAATAATAAAATGAATCCTCAAATTGAGGACTTAGTTAAGCGAGTAGCAATCATTTTGACGAAAGAGAAGAGCTCTATTTCTCAAGGACGTTCAAGGAAGGCGGCGTGAATAGTATACCGAACGTGAAAGCTCTGAACTCTTGCAATGTTTTACCTACAAGCTAGCGGAGATATCTCCTCGTGACCCAGATTGGTCTACGTAGTGCGCCTTATCAGGCTTTAAATAGTCCCTTTTTAAACAAGTGTCTCCACCCATCGCGATTTGTTTACAAAAAGAACTTCTTACTTCATCAACAAGTTTCTGCCACGACCTTTTCTACCACGACTCTCCTGGTTCTGACTAGCCATCCCATGTAATATCGGAGACAACGGCATGCCTAAATCCATATGCTCCCGCTTCAAAGAGGGGATTTCCAGACATTCCATACGACCTCAGACTAGCTTTATGGCGCAAAATCCATCAAGATGCCGAGAGAGTTGTGTTAACAGCTGGCAAGCTGGAGGCTAAACCAGGAAGCATCAAGTATAGTGTTGGATCTCAACCATTCTTTTCGGAGTTCATCCTTCATTTGACTCCATCCCAAGGTAATGATCTAGCTCCAAAGAGGTGTTCACCGGATCATGGCTAATTGTGTGATAAGAACAACTATGCAGTCTTGCATTCACCTTCTTCCAACCCGAGAGGATTCCCCCACCACGCGACACCGCTCAAGAAGCCAAGATTTGTCAGCGGTCTTACAGGAATCCTCAAATCAAGCAACGAAACGAACGCCGACCACGAAAACATCACTATGACGCGAGAACATGTCCGCGCAGCTCAAAATTTGCAGAAGATCATGATGGATGAGTTTGGTTGTGCATCTCAAATGAAGTCAGTCCTATTGAGACGACTTGGGGCATGTAAAATGCACTCTCGTGAAGAGGCTGCACGCCGGAGAATTGAGTTCCATGAGAAGCAGGATCTTCAAATCAAAATCGTACAATGGACTCGCGATGAGGAGGACCTTTGATGGGAAATTGCGCGAGAGACAGGTGTGTGTAACCTCCCTTTTGGTGGGGTTTCGGTGCTTGATATCAGAAGCAGCAAATATTTCTCTAAGTGTAGGACTAGAGGTTCTAAATCTTCAGGATCGAGAGGGTATTGGCTGGGTAAATGTTTTGTTTTCTTGATGTATAATCTTTTGCCCTCGATGCAGACATCTACATGTCCAACCTATACCCTTGCAGATTCCGGTCGATAGCCTCTCGCGTTCGAAGGCGGCGATTGAAAGCATAGATAAGATTTGAGCCTTGGCTGTCAGACAAATACGAGGTTTCTGCGCGAGGTGCATGGTCTTAGGAAGTTTCCCCTGCAAGTTAAGAACAGTGATCTCGTGGCACAATGTATGGCGAAGGCGTAGCCAAAAAAAAATTGCAGCAAGATGTCAGACACGGATAAACATTAATATCTGTGGACTTCTTAAGTTGAATTATGATTCCGAGATTCCTAAGTTGGAGTTAAAGGGGTCTGATTACTCATTTTCGAGCTAGTCCCAATGAGAAGACATCTCCGTGGCGGGTATTCTGCTCGAATATTGCCAGCTGGATAATTTTGCCGGCGTTCCAGCCTTCGAGTGAGGATAACTGGTTTGCTCGTGAACAATTCACGATGATACAAATCATCTATAGGCTTACAGTAGCTTGAAGTCGTTACTGTATCTTCCGTAAAGTCTATTTTGTCAAGGTGTCGAAGAGACTTTCGGATGCACGGCCGGATCACCGTGTCAGATGCTTATTCCCGCTCGCCGGCGATAGGGTTTTGCAGGGGTTGTCAGATCTGGATTTATGCATGCCTCGAGGTCTTCATCGCATTCACATTCCCTTCCCTCTATTCGCTTTGAATGATATTTCAGTGTCGGTCTATTCTCTCCATGAGAACACATCTAGTTGCTCTTCTCCATGTCAAGTTGTTGCTCTGATCAAATGGTTGAGAATTGTTTGATACCTATCGGAGTCAAAACTTGCAAGTTTTTGGCCAGTGGCCGGGACCCTGGACTCGTACCTGCATCTGGACTGGGATCGATGAACCCCTAGTTGAAGATAGTAAGCGAATCCATATTTTCTTGCTTACAACAACATAAATCGTGCACCACGGGTACTTTATCCGCACACCCAAGGAATCCTTGATCGCTTAATAGATTTCAACCGAGCCATAGTCACAATTTCTAAGCATCATCACTTCGTGCTATCTTGCAAATCGTCTGATCTGCTCGAGTGGCTATTTTGGGCGTAGTGGCTATTTTGGGCGTCGCGCCTTGAGCTGGAAGCGGACTCGCGTAGATGTGGCATTCAGGGGTTCGGCTCGTCTTAGTCCAAATAAGGGTCAAGCCGCTCCCGCCTTGCTGGGAACTCATTTCCACACTTCATATATCCGCTCGGTTCAGCTTCTGCATCCGTACAGGACACCAGCAAAGCCGTCCAGAAGTCATCCACGGGATCAAGCGATGCCTCTAGAAGCCTGCGCCGCAAAGAGCCACCATTCCAGATGTGTATTTATTGCCTTGCTTTGCCACATAGTCATCAATACGACCAACGGTCTAGCTAGGGGTTGGGCCGATGTCACAGTTCACACCGAGTTGGGGAGTTGAAAGGTGGTGAACAAAAGGATGGCTGCCGCCCATATCTAGTGGCTTGTCCTGACGACCTCGGTCTTTGTCACTCATCACTCGTTCTGAGCCCCGCGCCTTGGTTTATATTTGACGTCTATACGTCTAGTCACTCGTTATTCTCTCGTCTTTCTAATACTTTTGATCATGACTTCCTTGGTCAAGGCGGCCGTTCTGGCTCTGGCTCTCTCTGCTCAGGTCGATGCCGCTCAATACTTGTTGGTGGATGATTTCTCCGGGCCCAATTTTTATAACAACTTTGACTTCATCACTGTAAGAACTTCGTCCCGGGAATGTGGCATGAACAATGACTGATTCGTTGTAAAGGTAAATGACCCAACTGGAGGATTCGTCGACTACCAAACTCAAGCTGCAGCGCTTTCCAAAGGACTGATCGGATACAATCCAACAGCAAAGCGATCATATATGGGAGTAGATTCCGCAAAGGTCCTATCACCAGTTCAGAGCGCCACAAATCGCGGACGTGCAAGTGTCAGAATCGAGTCCAAGAAGAAGTACACCCGAGGCATGTTCATCGCCGACTTGTACCACGTACCACAACAAGCGTGTGGAGTCTGGCCAGCCTTGTAAGTTCTGCCAAGTCCGGTACCTGACGATCCGCTAACAGGCATAGCTGGACCGTAAGTCATGACAACTACCCCAGATGGGGTGAGATCGATATATTCGAGAACATCAACGAGAACACACAAAGTCTGCACGCCTTGCACACCGACCACTCATCCGTATGCACAATCCCAGGAAACAGAGTAGGCGTCCGTCAGACCTCTTTCACATCCTCGTACAACTGCGACGATACAGCGACCACTGGTCCGTTCGGAACAACTCAGAGTGTGAACCAAGGCTGTGCAGCAACAACCACCGGAAACGGCAATTACGGATCCTCCTTCAATGCCAATGGAGGTGGAATCGTAGCCATGGAATGGACCACCAAGTTCATCAAGATGTGGACGTTTCCTCCCACCGCCGTACCAGCAAATATCAAGAGCGGCAAGCCAGATACCTCGACATGGGGAACTCCATCATTCACAACTGAGGGAGGAAACTGCATCATGAACGACCATTTCAGGGAGCATAATATTGTTTTTGATACTACTTTCTGTGGGAATTATGCTGGGCAGGATTATTTCTGGAAGCAGACGAGCTGCTATAAGAATAACCCGACTAAGTATGCCAAGTGCGCTGACTATGTTGCGGCCAACCCTGCTGCGTTCCAGCAGGCGTACTGGATCATTAACAGTGTGAAGGTGTACCAGTGGCAGTTTTAGAGTCTGGAACATGTGGCTCATTGAGGGCTTCTGCTTTTTTTTTTTGCTTGGAGATGTGGTTCTTGCATCGCATGGGCGTTATGATGAGCGATCTTTGATGATTGAGATGGTGTTTCCTGCTACTAGATAGATATCCATATAATCAACACCTTCGGCGTCCCTGTGTTTGGAAACAGCCCATACCCAAGTGCAACCCTCAAAGACACATCCTCGCTTCTCTCGCCTCCTCATTGAGGAGCTGCTGCACAGCATTATCGTTTCCGTCAGGAGCCTTCTTTTCTAACTTAGATAACGAGAAATTGTCTTGGGCGCCTCGGAGAGCAGGACAAGCGTTTGGGAGCGATTTCAGCGTGACTTCCAACTAACCGTGGTCCATGTGGGCGAGCTAACGGAACATGTTAGGGATTTGCGGATGGAGAGATGTGGATTGCTGGGGTAGAGGCTGAAATTTTGAACTCGTGTGAGAGAGCTGGGGCGTGGGAAGTTGCGGAGACGTACCTGGCTTCTACTACTTGATTAGACATTGTACACAGTAGGGAGTGAGGCTAGAGCTTGGTGTTTGACGACTTACATCAAGAAGATTAGGAAAGATCGTAAACATTTTTGCAGACGATGATGTCGTGTTTGGTGATATATTTCCTTCTCCCAGCCAATTGATAGGAGCCACGGAGGATACGCCTTGAGGATCATTGCTCGTAACACCTGGCAGCATTGTATCGTGTAGCACCATCTTCCATATCAAATCCTAAAGCTCGTTTAACACCTTGAAAAATATGGTAAAGGTCTTCTCACAATCATCGCCATTTTGGCTATATTTGTCGGGGTTCGAATAGATGGGAAATTCCATACTAAGGTATGACGCGTTTGACATTATTATGCTTTGTCAACTGGTTCATTTAGTGTTAGCCCTCTGATGTGTAAGGTTGGACGATGGCGCTGTTGTGGGAGAGTAGAGGAGGCAAAACATACTCGTCCAAAGCCAATTATGGACATGTTTGGGATCAATAATACTGAATACCCCTCTAACAGATTGTTAATTTATGAGGAAAATGGATTAAGAGAATATGTTACGCTATTCATGAAGGCATCCGCGTCAAGTTATGTAATCGTCCTTTCACGAGCTCAATTCTTCACATATTCCCTGGCAGCTACTTTCTAATGTTGTAGCATGAGAAGATGAAGTCCTCTGGAGACTCAGACCGACAAGCATGAGAACTATCTGCATCGTGTCAGTGAAGTCTTGTATTCATAGACTCATCAAATTTAGAAAATCGACTAACCAAATGATCCACATCTTTCTGCACCATCCTCCAAGGAAAGCAAACGTCTCAAGTTCTTGACCAGGTTTTAATTACTCCATGTTTGAACTACAACACCATTATGAATGAGTGAATAACGATTGGTGACTTATGCGATAAGTCCCCCTTTGCAGGTCTAGCTCCTACCAGTATACGCTAGCAGGTTTGTTTATTTTGCTTCCCCAGGCTTCCGAGTCACACGCGCTGCCTCTCAACCTCAACCCAACTCTTTCCAACAACGCAATCAAATCATCTCAACGCCGGTGCTTGTCCAAGCCAATTCTTCATACATTCCAGACGACACCGTCTTTCCTTTTTCATATCATAGCACCGCGATACTAGCTCAACAGCCAAAATGGTTCGCAGGTACATCCGCAAGCTTCGCGAGAAGGCCAGAAAGGCAGAGGACGCAGCCAAGCTGGTCGAAGATGGAAACCAAGAGAGCATGGAGAAGAACGCGTCACTGAACGAGGGCCACCTTCATGCAGGATCTCCTCTCATCGCTGATCACATCGCTGTGAGTAACAAGAGCAGCTCTCTCGATGACGCTGTTTTGTGAGAAAGATCTAATCAATAGACAGAAGCTCGAGGATGCCAAACCTCCCGATCTTGCGCCATCGTTAGATCAAAATGCTTCCAACTTGCCAAGGGCTGATTCTGCTCCGCGCCGACAAACCCAGCAGCAACCCACTGCTTTCACCAAGTTCAGCGAGCTTCCACTGGAGCTGAGACTCATAATCTGTCAGTGATGGACAATTGAGGAGTTTACCAGCACGCAAGTCCCATCACCTTCAAGACAGCTGTCTTTGTATCATCTCCAAAGCTTGAATCAAGTCTTCCTAACACACCCCGTTTCAATTAGGGAAACACGCCCTTCCTGCTCGTCGAGTTCTGTGTATCCATGGCCGCGAAATCCTTGTCCGTGACAAGAGTATCGTTTTCAATGACAACAGTGAAAAAGGATTCCACCTCTGCAACCTGTCACAATATGGCTTGGTCTTTAGTACCACTGATGCCGACATCAATATGTTGAGTGCTTGCTGGGAGTCTCGACATGTTGCCATCAAGGCATACCCTATCCACCTGCTATCAGAGGACAACAGCAAAGAGATTCGTATGCACTCAGATGATATAGTTGTGATTGATAATTTGGACGTATTCTTGGACGCGGTAAATGACGTAAGTTGGCCAGGTTACTCCAAGATTGGAAGACGTGAGATGACTGACACGGGGAAAGATCACCAAGTCGGAACTTATGATTTTCAAAAAGCTCTCCGCACTAGGCTCTATTCAAAACCTGTCGCTCGTGCTTACGAGTGACAATGCAGATGGCGGGAAAAGCCTGTGAGTTTATAAACATCCAATTTCCCTCGTCTCTAGCAACTTTTCTGAAGATGCCTTTATATTCCTCACAAAACTCTTCAAGAAAGATTGCTAATTCTAACAGGAGGACTCTCTTCAAACATCCACAAGCGGTTCTCATACGCCATGTCACCTTCAAGTCATTATTCCCGAGTGTCAAGACTATCACAATTGTCTGCGATCATAATGATCCCATCAATGGAGGAAGTATTGAAAGGCTCGTCAATGTTGAAAAATACGGATCTGATGAAATTCCCCGAGGCTTGGATGGGAAAGTCAAATACTACCATCACACTTACAACATTATTCGGAGCTCATTCCCGGATTCCGCAACATCTCTTACCCGAACATGGAGATTGCGGTAACGAAGGCCTATCTGGCCTCTCGCTGAAATTCATTATGGGTTAGTCATACATGAAGGTCTCTTCATTTACTAAATTGCAGAACAACCAGCTGCAAAAATAAGCACGGTCCTAGAGTCCAACTGTGCAGCGTAAGATGAAATGCTTTGACTCACACCCCTGTTCTTCCACATTTAAATACTTGTTCTTCGACGTTTCAAGAATCCATACCCATCATCTTGCGCATCATCTCATTGTGTTCCCTTGTCTCTGCATTGAAGCTTCGCGGATCTGGACCTCGTGGGAGGTTGAGTCTACAGGGTCCAGATTAGTAAAAAGATTAGTAAATACCGACAGGTATCAGGAAAATGAAATATCCTGTTTCTCAACCTCCACGTACCCTTTGCCATGTGCAGACTTGCAGCGGTTATCATAGATCTTCTTAGTGAGTGGTTTCCCCATCCTGAACTTGTCAGCATCCGATTTTTTTCGGGGGAACAGAAGCGAAACTCACTTGCAAAAGTCGCAAGAGCAGGGCATCTTCCCATTACCGTGATGATCACACCCAAACAGCTGATCACCAGGAGTTCCGCAACATGTCCATCTAAAACCCTGTGGCCAATACTCGAAGAATTTCTTCTCGCTACCGCCAAACTCCATCTAAAGTTTTGCGCATTTCAGTCAAGTCTCGCACACACCACAACTTGGAAAAGTTTGCAAAGAATATCTGAGCATACCTCGAACTTCTTTTTCAAATCACCAGCTTCGTTAGCAAGACAAGCTCCCCATCCCAAATCTTCACTGTAGTCTTCATTCGGGTTCGCAGGTGTGTCCCAAATAATAAGCTCCAGCTTCCCTTCATGCAATGCTACATCCTCACATTTCCGTATCTTGTCGTCTTCGTACCATGATTTCCACAGGACTTCTTATGGAATTTCCAATCCTCTTTTTGGCAGTCTGCAGAGCACTAGAAGACTTCTCTGCATTTGCCGCATTTCTTGAGGACCGTTTCGGCATTGGCTGATTTCTTGCAGACATTTCATATCGCTGCCATTGTGAGAATTTTGAGGCTTCTGAAGAGGGGAGGATAGAGTATTTGGGCTTTGTGATTGTAAAGTAAGAGAAAGAGTTTAGAGAGAGGGGTTGTGGCTGTTAAATTTGGTTTGGTGCGGTCCGCTTTTCTTCACCGCTGCAATTCGAAGGTGATCCGGTCACGTGAGGTGTTGTAAGCGAGGCTGTGTTGACTTTCGGGAGAACCTCCTCCCTTCCCCATTTCATTATCGAATCTTACGAAAAGACACGTCGTTAACTTAAAGAGCTGATGGTAAGGCTGGACCGAAAGTCTGAAGGAGATAGTTACCCTATGTATACTCCATTCTACTCTTTACAAAAAACCAGTTGCTAGAGAGAGGGAGATCCTGAAATTTAAAGTTGGGTGCCCCATCAGAAACTCGGCACTGAAGGTATTTGCCAGAGTATTAACGATAGCACGAGTAGATTCAGGTGTGATGCTTAACTTAAACAGTACAAAACCTGGGTACTGCTAATTATGGACGTGTCAAAAAGCACTTTCATTTTCGTTTGCTACGTGCATCCATCAAAATGATGAATGAGCTTCGCGGTAAAGCGAATCTCGCATTGAGTGCCCAATTTGGAAGAACTCAAAGAAATAACGCTTGTAACTACCACGGAGAATCCCAGGTGCTTTGCAAGTAAAATAGACATCGGCGTACGCATTTAACAAAGTATGCTAGCAGAACCTGGACACACAAGTCCGATACCACAGAACCATTGCTCAGAAGCCATCTTCATCGCTCCATCCGTCAGAAGACCAGTAGCCATGGCGATCGTGAATAGATTGCTCGTCGTCTGGTTCCTCGTTGGATTGCTTGTTGGATTGCTCGTCGCTTTGCTCACCAGAACCCTGGGAGGGTTGATCAGCAGGAGCAGAGAGAAGCTTTTCACTTGGCCAGTCAACTGCGATGATTTTGTTCTCAGGATATGAAGACCATTGGCGCAGCTGCCGACCCTCATCGAGCAATCTGTCCCACTTCAATTTTGACGTTAGAGCATTTTCAAAAGTCAATCTCTGCAAAAAGCCAAGTTAGCAGGTGAGCTCCAAGGGGGGCTTTTGACGTTCGGAGAGCGACGCCGGGTAATAGGTGATGACCAACTTGTTCTTCGGTCCACAACGGGCTATAGCCTATGAGAGTGTCGCATCCAGAGACATCTCCATCCCACATATTTTTATTGACATTGCAGATTTGGACTATCTCTTTCAATCCCTTTAGGAAGTGAAGGGGATTACACTTCAAGTCATACACAGACGGTACATGATTGGGCCCAATCCGCGGGTCGCTGCGAAAAGCGTTTGCCGTGACCTGTGTTTGACCGAGAGAAAGATCATGAACCCAGCCAATTTTCTCGATCTTTTTTAACTCTTCTGGGATTGTCAAGCGTAATTTATTTGCCATACATACGTCAGTGGTCAGATTAGTCAGGTTCTGGATGGAGAGGATATAAGATGGCTTCAATCGGATTTCGCCATATTCTTCATGTGAGCGAAGACGACTTTTTAGACAATTAGAGAGAAAGATTTTTTTTTCGGAGATAGAGCAATAGTAACCTACATAGGTAGCATCAGAACAGCAACAGAACGAGATTCACTGTTGGCCTGAAGCACACCATAGAAGGGCTGAGGCCGCAGCACGACTTTTGTTGCAGTTGGCGTGAACGTAATCCTACGTCCTGTTGTCAATTTGTTGCACAAAGGCTGGCTGGATAGTTACATCAAATGCTATGAAGGTTGTACAGCATTCAGGTATTTGACTTACTTGAAGACTACTTTGACGTTTTCAATAAATTCTAGGTCGTATTAGAGATTCTGCTACATGTAGGTCTGTCAAAGCCTTACTATTGCCATCAACCTTGACTCTTTTTGTCTTCACCTTCTTGAACGACTTATCAGCCTTGACATGGACGACAAGTGTCTCAGGAATGGTTGCCTCCCACTAGATCATTGAATAGTTAGCAAAAGTTACACCAGAGAGCAATAGCATGACAAGAGCAGACGTGACCTACAATGTTCAGTCGGAGCTCGAGAGGAAGCTTAGGAAACAGAGTGAAGCGTGGCTGCTCAAGACGCTGTCTGACATGGCGGCCCAGTTGCGATCTTCTACCAACTCCATATGCTGGTACTGGGGGTATTAAGGCTGAAGTCAAAGCTTGAAGAATGGCTTGGGAGGTTTGTGCAGGAGTTAAGAGAGATGGACTGGCAGGACCTTGAGAGGCGAGAACTTCAGAGTCTTCTGAAGTAGAGCCAGTAACCATATCACCAACACTGTTCGAAGCCATTGCAGATGAGGACGCCAAGCTTGAGCGTCTTGTCGCGGCAAGAATATCGATTCCTTCTTCCATTGTTGCTTTGGTGGATCGAAGATGGGAGAGTGCAGTCTTTCAAGAAATAGACGCAGCAGAAAATGGGGAACGAACCACTAGCGTCAAGGCTAGTGGTTTGTGCGCGGCTGGTCTGCCAACGTGACCATACGCGTGATAGTCAAAAGAGATCTTTTTCGGAAATTCTGTTACGAAGTCTAGATTCTCAATTAGCTTTTACTGTTTCTCGTGATGAAAAATATGTGCTGGCATGGATGAAACATGAAAGCAGATCAACATTTCATCACTTTGACTCCACTTCTATGTTTACTTCACCGAGATAGAACGCAACGTCGCAAACTAATCCAAAAGCTACTCTACACCAGCTCCACTAAAGTCTAACAAAGCCGATGCTCCGAAATGAGCATAGGTTCCCAATCCTTTCATGGCCATGCTACCAGGATAGACACCAGATCTTCACCGGCTGGAAATCTTCCGGAAGAACTCCGCTACCTTCTAATGAGCAACGACTTTGCAATTCAGGAACCTGGACTCGGCTCCATTCCCCGCCTGATCTCAACAAATACCCTTCACTCGCCTCTTGAAATCTCCCATACAATCCCATGCCTTTCTTAACATGATGCTATCACTGATTTCTAGACGATCTTGATCACTATCACCCACGACGAGTTTCACAAGCGCATCCAAGCCTCCATTCCATATATCAGCTCTCAAGCAGCAAATCAGTAATGTAGAATCCAAGTTCGAAATAATATTTGAAGGCTATGAGGGGTCTCTCATGCAATTCAGAAAATCAGAAAGTTGTCATTGAGGAGAGCGATGGAAGAGCGGATTAACTGGTAGTAGTAGATTGGTTGGCTGTAGCAGGCTTAGTCTTAGAGTCTTCTGGATCGGCGAAGCTGGTTTGCAGGTGCTGGAACTGAGTGGGTGCGTCATAGCGCTTTTCGACTTTCCTGTGGCCATCATTAAAGATGATAAGCCTGTCAACAGCCGTCAGTCTTGCAAGTCAGAGCTGTGTAGAACGTCGCCGGCGTTTTTATGTCGAGGAGAAGGAGAACTCCGTCAGATGCTGTTGTCAGAGTGATTTCGCGCTAAGAATTAAGCGAGACCACCCTTGTCTTCATAACTTCAGAGGAACAATGGGTTGCAGTGTCACAGTCACGATGTGTAAAGGCACGTGACAATAGTCGGTATACCTAGGTAGTAAGAGTTGGACATATTCAGCTTGCGCTAGGTATTGTGATCCTTTGGTCCAATTAGTGGATTTGGTGTGATTCTAATCTCAGCATCATTACATGAAGCCCGAAAACATGGCTCATACCTGGTGAGTTATTTCTTCCTTTGCTACATACATATGCTGATGATCACAACGTCGCGAAGACGATATATAGTCTGTATTTTGAGACTTGCATAGAGATGGATACTCAAAATTCCAGAGAATATAACATGTCTTTCGACAGCTCAAAGCACTGAAAGGATGTCAGGAGGCATCAAAATCTCTCTCAACACTAAAGTCGATATCATGACTTCCTAGATTTTCTGGCTTCCAAGTGAACTCTTGCACGGGGAAAGGGCGTATGCGATAGCACTCTGGAATGTCATTATCTGTGGAGCTGACGTTGTTCCCGGATTCGTCCATGGTGAAAGATAGCTGCTTAGGGAGACCACGGCAGTGGACATGGAGATCGTGGCAAATAGGACAGTGTCTGATTGGGAAAGACTAGCGTAGGAGTACACTGAGTTCAGAATGCTGCACGCAATGATGAAAGGCTGCTGTTATCCATTGATGAAAGCTTCTAAGAACGGGCCGTCCTGCTTCCAAGGCCGAAAACCCAAAATCGGCTTTGACACGTTTCAGATACACGTCCCCATGATATGACATGCCACTCCCCAAACTCAGAGTCTATAATAACAGCAAGCGATATTCCCTCAGCTGCCCTTGACACACTTTTGCAGGGCGTAGTGCTGAAGCGAGGCGCCCGGGTTGTCGTCACTGCCTACCATTGCAGGGCACATGCGCTACGCTGGGCCCTCCTAAAAAGGTGTGTTCGGACGGCAGCTTAGGGGATGGCGAAAGTTCCCCGAGGGTTAAATGAGCTTTCAGGCCGTTGCGCCTTCAGCCTTCGGGTTAACACTATTTTTCGCTATTTAAAGTCTCGTTACAGTGAGCCTTACAGAGCTTCCAAGAGGTTATTCTATGTGATACAGTAGATAAGGGGACAGGAAGCTTTCGGGTGTTCCTCGCTTAATTACAGTTATCGCTCTAGACTATCGGCCCCCTGTCAAATGTGTGTTTTGTTTGGCCGTTGAGGGAATTCCTCGCGTTCATGCGCTAGGCCGTTCTGAGCAAGCCGACATCGAGCCCACGCAACGACAAACACTGTCGCAACTCAGACTAGCTCGCAAAAGCTCACGCCTTCTTTATAAAAGATATCGCAATTCGCTTTGTTGCTTCTGGGACGCTACATGCTGCTTTAGCTTCACATTTGCAGTACGAGAGGTAAAATAGTCCAGCATATGCTGCACTTTGTTTACTTTCGATCTCAGGCGTGACCAAACAGAAAGATTGAGATCTCAATATCTCGGATTCAACGAGCAGCTCTATGAACAGGTATAATGAAGCAAAGATCCAAAACGAATATGGGTCAAAAAAAGCGTAATAAGGAAGTCTCACCGCATTCTGAGCCGAAGATTGCAGTTCAAGACGCATGCGCCAGACTAACGTCATCGACGATGGTTGCCTACGTTGGAAATGACGACAGAATCAGTGAGTAGATTAGGTTCTGAAAGAATACCACCGGCTGACCTAGCTAGACTCAGTTACCCCTCGCCAAGCCAACGCAGGTTCAGACTTTGAATTGGTTACCATGGAACCTGAGCCTACAGTTGAGGAAGAAGAAGTGCCCGCTGTTCAGGTATACCAGAAGGAAGGGAGTCTAGCTCCCCCCCAGCATCCACTACGAGAGCCTTCACCCTTCCCAAGCCATCCATTGTTCACCGATGCAGACTCTCTACAGGCCGCTGTAGCCAAGAACCCCAGACGCATTTGTGAAGCTATTCGGAAGCTGCTCAATGAGCGTGCTTGTCTGAGAGTCGACTTGTCACGTACATCTGCAGAATTGATATCTGTTACCGAAGATCTAGAGAACACTCGGATTGATCACAAAGCTGCTCGAAGTAGGTACGAGGACTTGTTTCGGGTAGCCAGCGCTAAGCAAGCCATTCTTTGGAAATACATCGAGTCACTACACAATCAGCTGGCTTCTACAAAAGGACAGCCTGGTTCAGATCTTGGAGCTAGAAATGAGCAGGGCACGGCCATGGAGACTGGAGGAGGACCGGCGATGGGTGTCCCAATGGAGCAGTGGATCACTGATGGGATGGATGATAGCATTGGGCCAAGACACAGCGAAGAGGACAGTGAACAGGGAACAGATCGTTCTGTCTGGAGTGTTGATGACATCTACGGAGCAAAGAGCCTGGACCCAAATGCAGTAAGCTTGTCAAGCAATCCCTAGAATACATCCGGAGGAAGATACTAACCTGTACAAGCACACCTTCATACCACAAATCAGCAGCAGCCCAGAAAAGCAAATCAAAACCCGAAACTCTGACCAGGATTGGGATAAAGGCACCCCTTCAACGCCGACTACGCACAACGATTCGTATGCGGTACAAGATCCATTCCAGGATCAGTCGCGGGGTCAACAAAGTTGGCGGAATATACAGCTTCCAAGCATACAATTACAGGGACGGGGAGCACCCGAAAGCCTGGTTGCATCTCTCCCACCACGATGGTACGGCATCTGTCCATACTCTCTCGCCAGTGCCAAACCATGCCCTTTGGGAGTCAACTGCGAATTCGTCCCTCTCTGCCCCAATTACAACAACGAGAATGGAGACGGCTGTGCACTTTTCAATAGGGGTGGACCAACTGCGTGCCGTTACGCACATGAATATCGAATCTGTGAGCAAGCATTCTCGAAGAAGCCAGGAGGCTGTGTCTGGGAGTGTAACAGACTTGGCAATCATCCTGCTGCAATGAACTCGGCCAAAAAGAAGAAAGAGATTCATATGACAATCAGAGCACATAAATCAACTTGCAGTGTTGCGGACTGGGAGGCGAGGATGTTGTTATTGAGTATGCGGGAGGCGCATGGTAAAGGCCTTTTCAACGGAAAATAGCTCGCTGGAATTTGTATATCTTTCTGGAGCGGCGTATCTGAGTATTACTGAGGTTCGTAGCTAGGGCTTTGTTTGGCCTACAAGAAGCGAAGTGTGTTGGAGTATGTGGAAAGAGTGGGGTGTGAGAGCATGATCTGTTTGTGGGGAAGCAACGACTTTATGATAGTTTCCTCAGGAAGCCTCGTTTACCTGTATTGTAGCCCCAGGGAAATTGAATTCATTGCGTTGGTACTTCCTTCCTGTAATCAAGTGGTACAAGTGGTCTCGCAGGCAGGAGAATTTCCAACCCTCATCGACGATCCAACTCCGGTTCACCAACGTCATCGTCCAAAGCTCCAGTATTCATATTCTTGTTTGATCGAAACCGGTGCTTTCATTCATTATCTTCATCCAAAAACGCTTACAAACCGAAAGAGACTTCGTTCCACAGAAGATGGAATCAGACATGGAATATTCAGGTTCGAATTTTCTGTTGCAGGCAGAGGCCTTGGCCGAATCGGTCAACAAGAATCCAAGCAGCTTTTTGACCTACCTTGGGACACTCGAGGCGGAACACACGCGCTTGAGTGAGGCAACAGACACTCTTACAGCTCGGAATGAGGAGTAAGAACCCACTTCTCCAGTTTCATAGCAATAACTGACAGCATTTACAGGCTGCTCGGGATTATCGAACGTGCAAACGTCAAGTTCCTCGAAGGCCGACCAGAAAATGACAAGGAGTTCACCGATTGCCTGGTCAAGCGCATTGTTCAGCTGAACGACGAGAACAGAAGTCTGAAGAACGGCCAGGAGATCAACAAATTGCTGAAGATGCAGAACAAGATGCTGCAAGATGAGCGAGAGTACCAAGCCAATGCCGTGTTGAGCCAGGCGGAGAACATCGACAAGGAGTACACTCGGCTGAGCAGAGTCTTGTATGAATATGGTGTCAATGCCGCTAGGCTACGTAACGAACGCGATATTCTTCGCCATAATCTCGAGGTCACAAGGAAAGCTGGGGACATCGAGAAGACCATTATGAGAACTGAGTTCAATGATAAAATAGTGGAACTCAATAGGGCATACGACACGCTCCGGTTGGAAATAAGAAGAGAGATCGCACAGCTCCAACAGGGGGATGTTGCTAAGAGCCGCATCGTCAAGCTCATTGACACGTCAGAGGGGAGTGACTCAGACGATAATTATGTGGAACATCATTCGCAGCCGTGTGATTCTGATAAAGCTCAAGATTCCTTTGATGATTTTCTCGACGAGCGTTTGTGGCAACAAAATATTAACATTACCATCCTGCAAGACGAGAACAAACGGCTGCAAAACGAGCTGAACGCCACACATCATGTCTTCGCAGATCTAGAACGCTCAGAGGCAGTGAACCGGTACCTTCGATCAGAAGTCTCTGCTTTAGCAGTCAAGTTCAGCCAAGTATCTGATGATGCTTTGAACACATTCAACACCCACTTTGAGAAGGCGATGAGCACAGCATGGAGCAACTTTGGGAAATTGCAATTGGCTATGGATGATCAACTCCACTCCAACGTTGATCTCGAAACTTCAGCTCGAATCACTGCCTTCTCAGAGAGGGTTTGCGAGTTCGGACAGATGCCTTTATCAAAGATGGAACAGGACATCCAAGTCCTCGTGGAAAGCACCTGTGAGCACTTCAGTGATATTCAAGAGGGGTTTGACACTCTTGGAAGAACGGAGCTTGACTATAGGGACCACATATTGTGGCAGAAATACTGTGATGAAAAGCTGGAGAAGGATGGCAAGGAAGGCAACAATTCCATCGATTTGAAGTGTCTAACTACTACAGATCAAGAGACTCTCGTCGATGACAGTACTGACACTGACTCATCATTGACCGGTCCTCTTCTTGCATCCCAGAGGGATATAGCATCCGAATGCTACAGATCGGAGTCCATCACCACAAACGAACTCGAACAAACAGCCAGGGTGAGCCCTAGTCCGGAATATCTCCACAATGGAGTTGCTCACGCCGGATTGGTCTGGCGAGCAGAAGCCTCTACGGAACCCCGGTCTTCTTTACCACAGGTTGGACACGACACTATCGAAGCGTTGCCACCGCAGCCAGCATCAGTAGATTGTCATGATTTAAGAGCAATGAGACGAATTCCTGAGGTAGACGGGCCGAAACAGAGGACAAGAGGCTGGGCAGTGCCTTACCAACAATGAGACTGTCAATGAGCGGCGACGGTTACTGATGCTGAGTCACATAGCTGGTGGTATTCTATCGAGGAGGACCGCTCTGTGAGAGAACATTAATAGAAGGTTTAATTCCACTCCTGTTGTCCGACATTCTTTTGTGACGCGGGCCGCAACTGTCCGACAGGAAGCCCAAACCTTTGCACTTCAGGCTTAACTATTGACCGTAGATTCTATCCTCAATCAAGATTCCTAAAGGAGAAGAAAAAAATTCGAGCAAGAAATAAAGTAAAAACCTGCTCAGTCCTAAAAACCTGCTCAGTCCGTGCCTCCGTGTATTTCAAAGACTGGCCTACACTGCTCGCCCATCAACTATCTCTATCATCGGCAGCCCATCTATAACATGTACATAATGAGATAGAACTCGCTGACAATACACCACCACATCATGAACAATTAACAGGCCTCGATGATTGCGGCTGGAGAAATGTTGTTGGTTTTCGCCAAATTTAGCAGAGCCGCATCCCCAGATCGTAGTGTCATGCTTAGTCATCAAATCTTGGAACATTCCGAGTCTCTGGAGCTTTGATTTCGAGGTCCTCATTGTCCCGACGAACTCAGTCTCCAGCACTCCAACAAATTCAGTCCTCCTCCCTATGACCACCGTTGAAAGATACCGCCCTCCACACAACTTCACTTCAGATGCGCCCTCGAACGGTCCAACGACATATTCCTCGTCCAGCTCCATAGCCAGAAACATTCCACCCGCTGTACCTTCTCCACCACGACTTTCTCGAAACTCCCCACCACCGAGACCAAATACCAGTGCGATTCTTCCTATTTCAGATAGAATGGCTGTCGACCAGCTCAGCCAATGGCTGTTCACGCCGGATGAGCTAAAAGCTACCCCTTCGATGTGCGATGGCTTAGATCCTGCGGAAGAGCGTTGCCGGAGGGCGAAGGGCGTCAATTTCATTATACAAGTCGGCATACTTCTCAAGCTTCCGCAGATGACGATAGGCGTTGCGAGTACATTCTTTCACCGGTTTTACATGCGCCGGAGTATGGTTGAGAAGAAGGGGGGGTTACATCACTACGTAAGCACATCCAGTTCAGAACAATACTTTCCAGGCTCTCTATCTCCGATTCTCTTTCAATTCTCTATGAAGGCAACTCTTACTGACAATTCTTGAACAGAGCCTCGCAGCCACATCCCTCTTCCTTGCCACCAAAACCGAAGAATGCTGCCGCAAAACCAAAGAAATCGTAATTGCAGTCGCAAAAGTTGCCCAAAAGAACGCCTCCTTGATCATCGACGAGCAGTCAAAAGAATACTGGAGGTGGCGCGACGCAATGCTTTTATACGAGGAACAAATGCTGGAAGTCCTCACATTCGACCTGGTAGTCAAGATTCCCTATGGATACCTGATCGATGCGCTGAAGAGCTTCAATTTCGAGGACAACAAACACATCCGGAATGTGGCGTGGGCATTCGTCAATGATAGCGCGATGACTATGATATGTCTAGCTATGCCACCGAAGGATATTGCGATTGGAGCCCTGTACTTTGCTATCAGATTCAACGGGGAGACAATTCCAGATGATGAGGAGACTGGAGCGCCCTGGTGGGAAGTCCTAGGTGGTTCGCCGGATAAGATTATACAGGCTGTGGGATTCATGAATGAGTTCTGGAGTGATAACCCACTACGCAAAGCCGAGACGCCGTATGCAGGGTATACATCATCCAGCGAAGATTTAGATCGGACAAGAAGGAGGGCTGGTTCGGAAGGAAGCAGTATCATTTCCCCGCCATCAATCAATGGCGATTCTCTTGTGTCACCGAAGAATTACAGGGATGAGGGAACAGATGAGCAGCCTAAGAGACATGTCGAGAATGGAGATGGACCTACATCGAAGCGGAAAGAGCTCGAGGAGAGAGAGGAACCTGCGTCGAAGAGAGCGAGGACGGAAGATGCGGCGTCGGAAGAGGGCGCTATTGAGGAACCTGGTGAAGTTGGAGAGGAGAAGGAAGGTCCAGCTTCGTGAGATGTGTTGATATATATATGTAAGAGATGTATGATCAGAATGGTTTGGCTTTTCTTGACTTAGATACCCAATGAATGCATGGAGTTTTATTTTCGTTTTGACTTTTCCCAGTTGGTCTCTTTTCTGGCGCTGCAGTTTTTTGAGGTTCAGCCAGAAGATGTGATGAGAGGTATCACAGTGCAGGTAAGGCTGGACGTTCGTGAATCCTAGGGGACAGTTTTGAGGCGGGAAACATGTATGCCTTGGGGACTTCAATCTGGACAAAACCTTTTGGGAGGGTTTACACATCAAGCAGAAATCTCCAGGGAAGGGGCAGTGAGTGCACAAGTCTGCGTTCATGAAAGAAATCTATGTACAAGCGCAGTCACTGATCAAGCTCATCTCTATCTCAATCTCCGCCTCAATGTCAAAGTCAATCTGGTTCATTATCATCATTATTCCCTTTCCCTCATCTCCTCCATTACAAATTGTCCGTTCCCTCTCCATAACATCGCAATCTCCACCATCAGAGAAACGGTATTTCATCCCGTAATTGTAGAACGTTACAGACTTAGCTTATAAGTTCCTCCCTCCCTCCTTCCCTCCCTCCTTCCTTCCTTCCTTCCTTCCTTCCTTCCTTCCTTCCTTCCTTCCTTCCTTCCTTCCCTCCTTCTGTTCTTCCCTCTACACCAGTTTATGCATCACCTCCCCTCCTCTCCAGTATCATCAAATGAAAACTATAAGACAAGCTCCAAAAGCTTAGAAACGACAAAAAATATCAAAGAGCAAACGGAACGCCGAGCAGAGAAAGATCTTTGGTGTATGCGAGTAATCAAGCAAGAAAGCAGAAAAAAACAATGTCGTGTCGTGTCGTGTCGTGTCGTTGTCGTGGTTAGGACGTGCAAGTCAAAAAGATTGATGAGGCGCAGTGGTTGCTGAAAGAAGAGTTGCTTTGAGGGGATTGGAAGGGGTGTATTCTCGAGGAGTGTGTTTTCGAGGTCGTGGGAATTCGAGGATATGAGGAGGGGTGAGAGGGTGAGAGGTGGCGCTGCAGATTGACGATTCTGGATTTCGCTTCGAGGTCTTGGGATTTCCCAGAGAACTTTGAAGGTCTTTCAGAGGAGGAGCAATTCAAGATCTAAAGAATAGAAGTTAGCTCTTGTCCAAGTTCCCAGAAAAAGAAAAAGAAAAAGTGAAATAAGGAGAGCATAGACGACGTACCGTAAACCGATCTTCACCTCCTGGCCACCCTCCTGTCCTATTCCTGCTCATCCTCCATCTCCTCAGCACCTTCCCCCTCTCCCTCAAACATACTCTCAAAAGATCCAAAAGCAGCAGAAGATCCCTCCCCATCCTGCTCAAAAATCTCACCCCTCCCATACTTCCCAGCCAACTCCCTAAACTCCCCCTCAAGCCGTCTAACATCTTTCTTAACCTCTTCCAACTTCTCCTCCATAGTTTCGACATAAGCATCCCAAACATCCATATCCGCCTCAGTCTCTCGCAACATGTTAAGCACTTTCTTTAGATCGCGAGTGATAGCTTCCCAGTTGATCTGTTGATTGTCGCCTGCGCGGGTGGAGAGTTTAGCGAGGAGGTTCTTGATGTCTGCTTGCTTGTGGTTGGGGCGGATATTTTCATTTTCATTGTTGTTGGGATAGGTGTTGGTGGTGTTGAGATTGATAGAGGAGAAGAGAAGCTTTTGGATGAGTTTGAGATCGGCTTTTGAGTCGTTTAGGGCGTGGGAAATGGATGATAGGGAGGCGTTCACGGCTGAAAGCTTCTTGTTGCGGGAGGTATGGTAGGCGTCGCGGCGGGTGAGGAGTTCTTCGTGGAGGGTTGCGATTTCGAAAGCTTTGGCTGCGTATTTTTTGGTGAGGGAGGCTACTGCTCGAGCTTCGTCTGAGGCGTAGGAGGAGACAGGACCAGCCGTGGGGAAGGTAGAAATGGTGGTAGTCTTGGTAGGTTGACTGACGTTGGCGGAGTCTTCGGTCTCAGTCTTGGGCTTGATTTCGAGTTTGATAGTGCGTGAAATCGAAACACGAGTACTAACTGAGCTGGAAATCGAAGGAACTTCAGACTCAGCAGTCGCAGAGAAGCTTCCTCCAACAATCTTCTGAACAGCCTTGATCTTGTCTACACCATAACGAGTGACTCCCGCCAGAACCGCATCGCCACCTTCGAAGAAGCAAGCCAGAGCAAAGACACCAACTAGCAGCATCTTAAAGAGCGGGGTGAGCTGCATTGTTGCGATCAAAATTGTTTTCTTCTTTGATTGAAAGAGATCTGGATGATTTTGATTGTAAGGAAATATGCGTCTGCGATGCTATGCGATGCGATGCAATACAAGAGGTAACTCGAATTGGAGAGGAACTGAAGCTGAAGTTGAAGTTAACAGATAATAGCGCAAGGAAAGAGAAAAAGTTTCTCGAGATGTAGTCGTTCGGTCGTTCGTCCGTCTGCGTTTTCTTTGTCTGCCTGATATTGAAACCGACACACACACACACTACCCAAGGAGAAATGAGGCAGCCAGGTCTTAGAGTTGTGAGAGCGTGAATAAAATCAGGTTTGGGAGGTGAGCCAATGTCTCTTTTTTGATGGCCAAAGCTCCTCTTGGAGGTCGGAAGGTGAGTGTGTGGAACAAGGCGCACGAGGATAGGAAAGCAGTGAAGTTAACAGCAAAGTGGTATGTGATATCCCCACCCGTCGTGAGTTTGAAGTTTGAAAATCCAAGTTCCCTATTCGCGTTGCTTGCTGTTCGTTCACCTTCCAAAATCAGCAAACATAAATAAACAAAGAAAAGACTGGCTGCTTGCTCTCTCAACACTCACTCCCTCAACACTCACTCACCTCCTAATCAAACCCCACTCAGCTCTGAACTCCAAATTAACAAAGATTCGGCGACTTGCATCGCACATTCCACAAAATTAAATACCCCACCCACCGGCAAAGGTGAGCGAGCACACATGCAGACCGGGTTGACGGGCCTCGGGGGCTCAGAGAAGACGGGAGGGAAGAGGTGGTCAAGACCGCGCTCGCTTAGCTCCTCAGACAAATTTTGTTTGCAGGGCAGGGACAAAAAAAACAAAAAACAAAAAGGAGCGGTCTGCCCAATTCCAGTTGCCTTTGCCTTTGCAGTCGAACACGGGATGCAGCTACCCATCCAATCCTGGAACACCAGTCACCACGATTTGCTCACTGGCCATTGGTTTCCGTGCCTTGTTTCAAGTAACTGTATTAAGAATTTCTACGGGTGTGAGAAAATTAGGTAGTATATCGTGGTATCAATTTCGACATGCTCTGCTCTTCTCCACTTTCCAAACGCATCAGGGGCGAGCACTCTTGAACTTGCACTCCACAATTCGTTGTGGAGTATTGTCGTGACATCAAAAGAACTTCTCCAGCGGGACTTCCCTCCACCTTCCTCGCTCAGTATGCCACCACCTCTCTCTTTCCTTCTTTCCCTTCGCTCCAGCCGTAATTCCACTCCCGGAATCCAAGTTCCAGCTCCCCGTACACCCATCTCTAACACTTCCTTCCTCACTCATATCCAATAATCCTCCGGGACCCTCAATACCCACAATCGCTTCATCACTGCCCTCGATATCGGGTTTCAGGGTGTAGAAAATCTTGCTCTGGATTCTCCCCAGAAAGCCTGCAACAGCCTGTCTCTCCACAAAGTGACCGTACTCGTCCCAGAGGATGATGTGGAAGCGCGGCTGTTTCGCAGCGATGTCAATGCGATGCTGAGCCATGCGTCGAGCGGTGGCGAGGCTCATGCCTTGTTCTCTGTCGCCGGCTGCGAGTTCGCCAGAGGAGTTTTGAGATGAGTGCGATGATTTGTCCTTGTCGAGGTTCAGCGAGAACGCAGAACGAGTGGGCGACTTAACAAATGACGAGTTGATGGATGAGGTGTGGCTGTGGTGGCCGAGAGAGAAGGTGGACCGAGTTGGGGACGGTAGGTTTGGTGCACTCTGAGAGTGAGGGATGTGGCCAAAACCCATGTTTCTATAGCGGTCTGCAGGGAGTTCGATGCGCTCTCTGGGCTTGCAGAGTCGTTGGAGCGTGCCGTCATAATCAGTTGGTGCGCGAAGAGTGCGTAAGGATGGAAAGCCGTTGTAGAGTATTGCCTTCGCCAGGATTTCCGTGGCCTTGTCATCGTCCGGATTTGTAAATTCCCAGTGCAAATACTCGAGAGTTGGAGAGGCAAGGTACGGATGGAGATAAATCTCTATTCCCCTAGGAAGTGATGGCGATGGTGCTTGTGAGATGGTGAAATGTGTAAGTGATTTGAGGTGGGAGAAAAGTCGAGTCAAGACAGGTAGTGACAGTAAGGGAAGTCCAATGAGTGACAGTGAGATTAACGAGTCGGTCCGTGAAGGCGAGCCATAGTTCGACAAGCCATTGGCAGTGATACCAGGTAGATTGTCAAGACGTAATGACTTGAGTGGTGGTAATGACAAGAGCGTCTCGTCATTAAAAGATGTCGACGGGAAGGATGAGACGTGAAGATTCTCAAGCGAAGGTAGAGAATAGAAGATATCGATGAACAGTGGAGAGTCGATGGTACCACCAGGATTGCAGTGAAGAAACAGGGTTTTCAATTGTGGCCAATTTGTATGATGGATCATGAAGTCGATGCATTGCTCTGGAAGCAATGGACTTGGGGCCAGAATTGGAGTAAGATATTCTGCGTCTGCAGACAAGTTGAAGCGTCGCTGTCTCTGGAATGGGCTCGGATTGATGACCCAAACCCTTTCTGTGAGCTTCTTCCTCGTCGACAGCGCGTGGACGAACCTCGAAAACTCGTGGTTGTATGCCGGGTAAAAGCCAGGAAGTCGTTCCAAATTTGGACAGGCCATAATTAAGGAAGCGACCAGTTCAAGATATTCATCTTGCTCTTTGCCCCTCGCAACGTCTGGCATGGCGGGGACCTTCAGCACTTTGACATATTCTGCCAAGTCTGGTCGCATACGGAGAGTTCTCCGTAACAATCTCAGCCTGGTCCCAAATTTCAATTTGAACTTCTTCTTGGTGTGAATGACAGAGTCGCATCCTGTGAGCTGAATATCACCATACAGCATACATCTTGCGGCACCCCACCATTTCTTGCAGCTTAATCCCAGATTGAGCAGATCTCGCATCCAACATGTCGAGCAGCTCAGGCTTCCTGCATCCAGATGTGATTTCTTCAGCTCCGCCAGAACGACCAGCAATATCTCCTCAGGAAGTTTCTTGAAACCCTCTCCCCTCACGGTGTATGTCCTCCCGGAGGCAGTTTTATGCTTCGGAAACATGCCCATCCTCTGCGGTGGCAACAGAGGCGACTGTTGGCTTCCCGCTCCACCTGCTCCATATCGTAAGTGCATTGGCAGAGCTTCGTTCACAAATCTTTTTCCGGGGAATGGGGTCGGTGGGATTGTAGTTTGAGTTGCCAGGAATCCATTCTTGGTAGTTTTCGAATCGGAGTACGAAGTATCCTCGCTTGTGCGACTCGACTCGTAGTCTATTGAAGAACTAATACTCAAGGGACTCTTGTGTCTCGATTCGAAGCTAGATCGGGAAAGTATCGAGATACTGGAGGTAGAGGGAGGTCGTGGATAGAGTCGTGGAGGTTCCATATTCGGCGGTACTCCCCAAGGGAGGCAAGGGAGCGTTTGGTTCGGACCCTTTTGCAGGGTACTGGGCGAGTAGATAGGGTATGAAGCTGTCGCCCTATGATTCTGATTCGAAGGAAGGGAGGCTCGTGCAAGCCGTGTCTTGAAGTCTTGCTCACTAAATCTGCGTTGTCTTGCTTGGGCGTGATTCTGTTCGATGCTTTGCCCCTCCAGACCTGGCTCCGCGACGTTCTGTTGATGTATCGTTTCCTTGCCACGACCTTGTTCAATGATCCACTTCTGTATGTTCTCCTGACCGCAGTCCCTCTGTTCCAAGCCCTCCGCCCAGATATCCCGCGTTTGTCTCTGGTAACAAATAGCGGGTGATACCTCACCTATTGTTTTCGTCGGAAGAACAATCGTGGTCGAAGTCGTGTCCGGACGGCAGGTCCTGTTTGTAGCACAACATTGCGTCAGTCTGGACCATCTTCATCTTAATATTCATTCTGCAGGACCCTTTTTGGGACACTTGAAGGTGCATTGCCATGCCTCTTCGGGACAAGAAGAGGCGCATCCCAAGACGGCCAGAAGGAATCGCGCGCCAACGTGGCAGGAGCTTGAGCACATCGAGCTTGGGCGTGGTGGAAATTAGATGAGGGCGGGTCTGGTGAACAGCGGCTAGGGGACTTTTGGGTTCAGAAGCGTGAAAATCACCCGCGTTGCACGGTCCGTAGCGTGGGCACCCAGCCCGCCATGAAGATGCCATGAGTAAAGGGGAGATTTGACCTCGGAAACTTTTGATGGGATAGGAAAGGGGGTTGAGAGGAGAAGACTGATGGCAGATAAATGGAGCATCTCTCGAACAGTTTTGCAAAAACTGCCAGGCTCGAAATAATACTCGGAGAGAGAGAGAGAAAAAGAGGCATCAGCCGCATTGTTGGCCACTATCGAGGAGCGCACTGAAGCTTATGCTGTGCCTGAAAGTAAATAGTCCCTCACCAAAACACAGCCAATGGAGTAAAGCCCATGGGCGATAAAAAAATGTTACAGCAAGATAAGGAAATAGAAGTAGACATACCTGAGAGCATTCGTCGGAGTATGTCCAATCCCGTATTGATCATCGCTAAATATCCGACGTCGTACAGGTCGGTACAGGGCATCCATAGGTGAGAGGAAGTCGTGCGGGTGCGAGAAAGAGTGGGCCATCTTTGCGACGACTAGGGAGACATGTCTCGCATGTCTAAATCAACATCTGCAAACAAAGAATCAAAGCTTGAGACATCAAAAGGTAAAATAGAAGCAGGTATCGGGAGTTCCATTCTATCTATAACCCCTCACCCCTCTATCGCTTCTTCCAAGCAATCTCAAGCCTCACTTCGGCAGAAGGATCAATCCACACTTCAGCTGAATCTGATGCTGCGGCTCCCCTTCCACGCAATGACATACCTGGGCATATCTCAGCCTTCTTGTGCCTTTTCTTCTCCTCGCTATTGGTCTATTTGATATCATGGAGCCACAACCCGTCTCATCACTGGATGGCGGCCTCCCGTTCCCCATTCAGGATGCACATTCATGCATCCGATGTATCTGTCGGTGGGGGCTTTTGCATCCCTCATAGTCCTTTGGAGTGCACTCTGAATCGCTGCAAACCCAAGACATCTAGAATCATCGTATAGCATCTTTCCAGACTGGACTGTGAGAATATGACAACTGAGAACTGTCAAACATATCAATACAAGGCTGCAGTAAATATAGGATCACGACAGACCATGCATTGAAGCTGCACTATGGTATTCCAATACCGAGTGTGGGCGAACGCCACGCGTTTGCAGTGTTATGCGGAGCCCTGATGGGTATCTTTGTCATCCAGTGGCAGTGAGTAGCGGGGTGACAGCTCAGGGTTCCCCTCTTGCTGTTTTGGATCATGGAAGAGCTGCAGGGCTTGGCTAGAAGCTGAGAGCCAAACCTAGAAATACTTGCTGATGTGACAGCTCAGGGATTTCAACAGCCTTGCATGAGATTTTTGGGTGGCTTGAATAGTCATGTGACTAACACATGTCGTGAGTGTTCAACTCTCTCAGTTCAGCATGTTGCACTGCACGCTACGTCTGATACTAATCAGATATACACTCTCAACGCAGCACGGGATGGGATATCAACCGTTATCGTCCCTGATGTAAAGCGTCACGAGCATGCGCTCCAAGCCCTCAAGGACTCTGAAAATTTGCTCAACACGAATCGATCAACACGGTCCGTAGCGCTGCCTCGGAGACGCCCGTCTAGTCTTCATACAAATTAGAATGACTTACTACTCCCAGGACTAGGAGGTAACCACACTGGGACTGTGGAATAAGGCTGGATCGAACGCCTGGCTGATTCCGCCAAGTCGCGCTGAATCTCCCCCATTCCTGGCAAAACTGCGAAGAGACTCTTTCAAAGTATGGCCGAGGCCCAAGATATTAACACCTTATGCTGCAGTGACTGAATTTTTCGAGAAATAGAAAGGTTCATATTGAAGACACTCAGGCAAGGTCAGTTTTGAGCCTGGACCTATATTTCGGCCTTTTCTTGTTGCCTGCGCTAGGTAACCGAGAAATATATCAACATGACATCTTATCCAAGTTAAATCTTCTTCACCTCAACGACTCGAAATCGTACATCTGACTTTAAGTGGTCTGTCTGACGTCCAAGAACTCAACTTCATCTACAATATCCGATTCTGGAAAACAACAACGACAATTCGAGCTCCAGGAAAAGTACAAGTCCCAGTCCATCCCGAAATCGACAGCCAAGCAATATCTCAGAATGGACGCCACAGATATCCTCTCCACCACCCTCAACAACCTCCAAATCTTCCAACCCTCCACATCCCAAGACTTCAATCAACCACCTTCTCAAACCACCACCTCCTCATTCCCAACCACTCACCAAACATTCCCCCTCTACCCCACCCTCCCATCCGAGCTCCGGCTCAAAATCCTCACCCACACCCTCCCCCCACCACGCTCATCATCATCAACCAGCCTCCACCTCAACGCCGTCCACATCCTCCTCTCCGACCCCTCATTCGGCCTCTACCTCACATTCAGCATTTCCTGCGCCGTCTACATCCACTCCCTCGGCGCATTCCACCCCGTCCCTAAACCAGGAGAAATCACTGCAGGGCTGAAAACAAGTCGAATGCTCACACTCCTGAGTACCACCAAAGAAACCCGCGCATTTTATCTCTCTCGCTATCCCATCGAGTTTCCATCCGGCCCAAACGGCAAAGCCCGGATCAGAGTCTCGAAGCAAGAGATACTGTATTTCGATAACTTCCCCAGTTTACTCGCCCACCCGGATTTCTCCAGTGCCATCCGGGATAATTATCGACTCCAGGATTACTGGACGCAGATTGAGAATTTGGCGATCCCGGTGATGGCCTTTGTGGATTCCAGACATGGCAATTATGCTGTTCTGTTGGAGGCTGTGAGGAAGTGTACGGGGTTGAAGACGCTAGGGGCGGTAATGTGGGATGGGTTTAGAGATGGGGAGGGTGAGAGGGATGAGGGGGCTGTGAAGAGTGTGTTGGTGGGGGTGGAGGGGTACTTGGAGGAGTTTAGGGGGAGGTTGAAGGAGGGGGTTGAGGATGGCGAGGGGTGTGGGAGAATGCCTGTGGTGAAGATCTTGGAGGGTCGAGGAGCTTTTTTGTCGTTATTGAGAGGCGTCTGTCTATCAGGCAAGACGTGTATGGTACATCAGAATTGGCAAAATTGGGCAAAACAGGCGGGTCTTTGAAGGTTAACATATTCCCGCAAGAAATATGAAGTTGGTAGGCTTTATGCTACCACGATGTGATTATTCTCAGTGACGAACTTCAAGATTCCTCTGCAGTGTCTCTGAACATCAGATCATCTGCAAAGCCCTCTGGCAAAGCTTTACCAGCAATTTTTGCACTTTCCACCAACTCCCGGATTTCTTTCTCGTCCTCATATGTCAACTGTACTTTCAAACTAGCCCAGTTCTCCTCTAGATATTTGACACGCTTGGTGCCGGGGATCGGAATGATATCGTCACCCTGCTTCAGCAGCCACTAGACTTCCTCAAATTAGTCCCGGGCAAAGCACTTTTCTACGCATGGATAAGCATGCCCTCAACTGCCGAAAACACACTTTTCCAGGGCACTGCGCTGAAGCGAGGCGCTAAGGCTACCTAGATGACAGCACAGCATGTAAATTTCAGCCTTAGTCGCTTAATTATAGGGTCTCGCTACAGGCGTGTTTGATACGGCAGTTGAGGGGATAACGTGGACAGAAATGTCAAAAGAGAGTATGCCTTACTTACAGCAATAGCCAATTGTGCAACACTGCACCCCTTTTTGTCAGCCAAAGTCTTGAACTGATTAACCACTTTCACATTCGCATCCTGGTTGGCTTCGGAAAATCTTGGCATGGCTTTCGTTCTCATATCCTGAACGGCAGCATACTCTCCAGCTGCGAATGTGGATGTCAGCAGACCTCGACCGAGCGGCATCGCGGCAACAACTGCAACACCTAGCTCGCGACAGGTTGCGAGGAGGTTGGTTCCAGACGATTTCTCAATGTCCAGCGCGAATGGTGTATAATCAGTTTGGACTGCCGCTACTGGAGCGATCTTGACTGCTCTGCGGAGAGTGGCTGATGAAACTGCCGAAAGACCAATGTGCTTGATCTTGCCTTCTCTGGGTGGAACTCAATAAGGAGGTGAGTGGGTGGGTGGTTGAATGGGCCTTACCTTTGGAGCTCGGCCAAAGCTCTCATTGTTTCTTCGATGGGGACTTTGGGGTCGGCATGATGCATGTAGTCTGGTTATAAAATTACTTTGGGTTCGATGCGTCACAGCCCGAAAATTGGATTTAGTGGCCGTGAGAAGAGAAGGGCAACAGGAAATGTAGCTTACAGAGGTCGATGTAATCAATGTCAAGAAGTCTCAAACTCTCGGCACAAGCCTCTTTACAGTACTCCGCCGAACTGTTGGCCTTGAAAGCTGGATCTCCCTTAATGAACCCAAATTTCGTTGCGAGGAAGATGTCATCTCTTTTTCCAGTGCGCTTCAACCATTTGCCGATGAGTTCCTCGCCGTCACCATATATACTGCACATTATTTCAGTCGGTGTGCAAATGAGCAATATCAGGAAGAAAGGGTGGGCTTTAGCAGAAGACGTACTCAGAGCTATCCCAACTTCTGGCTCCTAGTTCGTAAGCACGATCAAGCACAGCGAAGCGTTCTTCATCGCTGGCGACTGGGCCGTACACTTGAAATGTCAACCCCATGGTGCCGAAACCGAGGTGGGGAATCATTGGACCATTTCTGCCGAGAGGGACGAGCTTGGTAGACATACTGAGAAGGTAGTTTCGAACGTATAGAACTGTGGCTGTGAGAACTAGATACCGAAGGGCGACTGTCGTGAGCGAGAAAAGGATTTCTGGGAGTGCTGTTTAAATATCAAGCCTCCTATCTTTGGTTAGCTCAATGCTAGTCTCGTGCCGACGGACACGGATTTAGAGTGTCATATCCGTTTGATTCTCCCCATGATTTTACAGCCAGTCTGTATCGCATATATGAGGTCATTTAGGGAAACGGCATCGTGTTTCCCGTATGTTTTCCCCTCGATAAAGCTCGCTTACGGGCCTTGGCAACCTACCAATCAGATACGTAGAATTCCGAGTCAACAAATGAGCGTCGCAGCATGCAAAGACATCCCCACGCGAGAAATACACGTTTGACAGAGCGACTTTAATGATCAGTGCCGCATATGTCCTCTCCCATGGACCCGTACGAGTAGCGCGCGCTGCCTGACTTAGTAGGTAAGATCTAAATAACAGACTCGCTTAGTATCCAATCATCAACCAGACTTTCCGAGCAGGCAAATTGGGCGAATGTGGCACAGCTCCATGGAATGATCAGCCAATCATCCTTACACCCCACTCTTTATATTCAGCATATGTTGAATTTCGTGCATGTGCGACAACCTCTCTATGCTTCTGTACTACATCCAGAAGTCGCATGATGGATACAAACGGCAAATGTTCTCGTCAAGGCAAGAAGACCAAGAAAGTCAAGTCTGGTTGCCGTACATGCAAGTAAGTCAAACTAGAAGCGCTGGTATTTGCATTTTGAGCGTTGTCTCATACGTATCTGGTGTACAGAATCAGAAGGGTGAAATGTGACGAACTTTGGCCCGTCTGCGATCGTTGCAACTCTACTGGTCGAGTTTGCGAAGGGTACGGTGTCTGGGGTGGGGGAGAAACCATTTTCAGCCAACAACAGCGTCTTCTTTCCGAGCGAGCAGCACGAACGGTTTCCAGACCCCCTGTCGTCGTTTTCCTTCCTGGATCAAGTCCTGAGGAGCGCGACGGCTTCGAATGGTTCAAGTACAGGACTGCTCCGAAACTACCAGGCAGCTTCCAATCCAAGTTTTGGTCTACTCTTCTCCATCAAGCCAGTCTGGACGAGCCGACAGTTTTGCACGCTGTTCTTGCATTGAGCTATGTGCATAAAGGTGGTCATGATGTAAGCAAATGCAATACGCTCGACCATGAAACGGTTGCGTTGCGGCATTATTCCAGGTCAATTAAAGGTCTTCAGCCACATTTCATAGAGAAGAGCAAAACATCGTGCAGGATCGCTTTGTTAGCTTGTGCTGTATTCGTCAACTTAGAGATGCTTCGCGGCCATTTCCAGACTGCACAGACTCATCTCGAAAACGGCATACGAATTTTGCAGGAGATGCAACTCATTTCAGAAGGAAATGACGGCATATATCGTGACGTCCCAGGCTTAGGGTCAACTGACATCTGGATAGTTGAAATATTCGCAAGGATGCAGCTACAATCGGAAATGTTTCGATGTGGGTATGAGCATCGTTGTCTATTTCTGGAGTTGACACAATGGACTGCTTCCGAGGGACCATCTTCAGGACTGAACTCTCTGAAGCAGGCTTGGGGTACTTTGACTCCACTACTGAACCAGACATTGCGCCTGATATCGATTTCACGACATCAAACTTTTGCAAACTTCCAATGCCAGACATCAGAAGCAATGTCCCAAACCCAACAATCCATTCTGAAAGGCCTGGCGCGGTGGAAAGAAATGTCAGAGATTCTCCAGAAGCGGTTGCTCGGTGACGAAAGACGAGCCTTCCACTTGTTGTTGACATATCACACTCTCGCAGTCATCATGGCGGACACGGCTCTTGAGCTAAACAATGAGATGATCTACGACAGCAAGGCCGCAAAGTTTCAAACACTCTTACAGCAGTTGACCGAACTCCATGATGCATCTCAAAAACATTCGAGGACCACTGTACTCCCAGAAATGATGATGGATATGGAATCATCTATTGCAGACATCGGATGTACGTATGAGAGTCTATCACCTCGGTTATTCCCTGCATGTTCTAGAAATTCTTCTCACAAGATGAAGATGCTATCCGGTCGAAGCTGACCTACTCTGACTGTATAGGGACGGCTGTTCTCTACTACATCGTCAGCAAATGCCGTGTTACGACAATCCGCGCACAAGCTGTCAAACTTCTCGAGTCTCGCTCTCACCGTGAAGGATTGTGGGATTCGAAAGTGATGGCCTGTGTTGCGAGGAAACTTGTTGACATAGAAGAAGCAGGCTTTGACCATGACAAAGGAAAGTTGACAGGAGATCAAGGTGCTACAATTCTACGGTCTCATTCTGTGGAGGTACCTCTACCTGATTCACATCGGTTACGAGAAGTCGAGGTGGTTTTGTCGGGAGCTCCGATGGACAATATCATGATCTTCGGCAGACGTGAGCAGGATGGCTTGGGGAACCGGGTTCTTCTCTCGGAATATCATATTCTGGCTCGTTACTGGAAAGATGCCGAGAATTGTTAGCTGGATGCACAGAAATCTTTAGATCAATATCCTGAGGTCTGTTTTTTTTTTAGACCGTGACGTAATTATGACTTTGCGGCGCGGGCCGCTCCCAGCACATCCAACTATGCCCCACCCCTCCACCTCCTCTACTTCCAAGTCAACATACGTCGATCTCCCTGCAGAACATCACCAGCATCTATAGCATAATATCGAATCGGTATTGTTTCTATTTCAAACCAGCAGGCCTCGTTAGACCCAGCATTTCTGGATATGGCTGATTCGGATATGATATCCCCGACACCCTCGCCCAAAGGTATGCAGGACGAATCGAAGACCCATCCATCAACGTTGAAGTCCCGATTCATGCGGCTCTTCAAACACCCACGTCCTCTTTCATCCGAACCTATATCTCAACTACGCTGCGGTTTCCTGAGTGTGCTGCCACTTGAAATCCGGCGTCAGATATACATAGAGATTGTAGAGCTCTTTGGAACGTGTCAGCACGTCTTTCTACTAAACAACAACTTGACACATATGCGATGTGTGTCACCAGAGTCACATATACCCTTTCAGAAGTTCGGTATCATACTCGCTCTGTGTCCTCGTGGCAATGAGGCTTATCGTAGGAAGGTTAGGAATGGCTGGGAGATAATCCCTTTGCTTTTAAGCTGCAGACAGATGTGAGTTGGGACTATCTCACTATCTGCCAATATTCTGACATAAATCACTACCGGTCCTGACTCAACACTCGCTAGCTATCTAGAGTTCATCGAGCTGGTCTACCCAGCCACCACCTTCTATCTCAACGTACCAGCCGCCAGACGACTCATAGCCACGGTCCCAACTTCCTTCATTTCCTCCTCACGTATCCATCTCGAATTTAGAATCGACAGATCTATGTACCAATCAACTGGCAGTAGAACGAATGCATCTGCAAATGCTGCTAAAGAAAATTGGGAGGCTTTTTGGAGAGAGACAGTGGCATTACAGATAGGCCACTTGCTAGTAGAGATTGAGGATGATGAAGGCGCCGCACCTGAGCAGAATCTTTTGCAGCCCTTGAAACAGTCAAAAGTGCAAAACATTGAGGTTTGGCTGCCGTGGCAAGCAGAACAAGAGATTGGCGGGGATGATGGGCATACTAGCTTTAAGATCCTGCGGCCCCCAAAAGGGACAGATCTGACTGTGGAAGAGAACTTTGATAAAGCTTGTCAGGAGCCACCTGTATCAAAGAAGATCTTCCAAAGTTGGAGAAGGCAAGGATGATTAACTTATGGAATGGCTGTATGACAAGGATCAAACAGTTACCGAGAGAAGTCAAGCCCACACACAGCTCCCACATGAATAGCTTAGACCTGAATCATAGCACCTATGGTATGCTGCCAAACAAAGCTTGTTCATATTCCGTTCACATTATGCCCCACCCTTACCCAACCTTGCTCTAAGTTGTTGATGCTTTCTTCTGCTCTGTTTTCGAGCACGTTTATCGTTGGTCACCTGGTTCCAAGGCCGTTGTCACCGTCTTAGACAACCTTCTGTAGTGTCCCATCTTTGAACAAAACATGCTCGAAGTCGACGAAGAAATCAACCGGGGTCGCTGGCTTACTGTTTCTTTTCGACACCAACTTCCCCAAAATACCTTTGGCTTTGAAGGTCGCCTCTTTTTCAATCAGTGTATCAGGTACCAGTTTTGGATAGTCTCGAATGTACTTGTCAAAATGCTTTCGCCCTGCTCACGCATCGACATATTAGTCCTTTACTCAGGATCTGATCCAACGAGCTGAGTTCTGCTCCTAAACTTTCATCATATATCAAAGAAAATACGACAGGTACCAATCATACCTGAGCAGCTCTTCAAACAGCGTCTTGTTGTAGCGTGGCGTGAGGACGGACTGTTTTTCGAGTAGCACGTGACCGTAATGGTCAAGCCCGGCCCACGTTATCCCTTACCTTACCTACCTTGAGTACTCCTGGACGCTTCCGCAAACCACCTCAGTTCCTGATCTGGTGGCAGATTACAATGAACAGGCGTTATTTGGGCCCTAAGAGGCAACTTCATCCCTTCTTCTCTCAATCGCCTTTCACCTATCGGGGTCTCCTATATTTACCTCAACTGTTTGTCAGAACCATCGCAAGTGCTCCTTGCTCCCCTCGTCGCAGGCTTCCCACTTCCGGTTTTGTAACACTAGATCCAAATACGAAGATTGAAGAAGAACATCTTCCCTCTTACATCCCAGACGACTATTATCCAGTTTATATCGGTGAAGTGTTAGGATCCAGATACCAAGTTGTGGGGAAATTGGGCTTTGGGGCGAACTCCACAGTCTGGCTGTGCCGGGATCTTAGGCAAAGGTAAGGAAGTAGTTGAACTAGGCAAGAATTTTTGTAATGTTTTAATAGGGAACACCGATTTCTGACGCTCAAATTGCGTGTTCGAAGCAAAGAGCATAATCACGTGATTCATGATCAGGAAACCACAATCTGCGACTACCTCAAGAGTCAGTCTCTAGAACATCCCGGAAAAAACAGAGTTCGCAGGGTTCTTGATTCGTTCGAGATCGCCGGTCCAAATGGAAATCACAAATGCATACTCTATCAACCGCTTGGGATGAGTTTCACTGAGTTTCTTAGACTTCTTCCTGAGCATAGGTTTCCAAAGGAACTAGCTCAAAAGAGCATTCAACTTATCCTAATTGCCCTGGATTATCTCCATCAGTGTGATATTTTTCACACTGGTAAGCTCTCAATTACATCAATCTAGCCTTATTGTGACAGCTAATAGTCATCAGATATTTCACCAAACAACGTACTCCAAGGAATTGAGGACGACTCAATTTTTGCTGAGATGGAGCAAGGCGAACTCGAACAACCTATCGCCCGGAAGGTACTCAGAGATCGTACTGTTTACAATTCGCGACCAATGCCTTTTAGTGCAGGCCAAGCAGTCCTCTGCGATCTTGGTGAGGCTAGAATTGGTACCTCAAAGCATAGCGGCGACATTATGCCTGGCATTTACCGCGCTCCAGAGGTGATATTAGGAATAGACTGGGATGCGAAAGTGGATATATGGGCGATCGGTATAATGGTGAGTTCAAACTGATGACGAAATAGTCCATTCTGCTACCGTATGGCAAGCTTTACCAAGCTAACTTTATTTGATTTATCCTAGATGTGGGATCTTCTTGAAGGCGGTCATTTATTCTTCGCAAAGAAGCATGGAGTATTAAATGACGAGCAGCATCTTGCAGAAATGGTTTCGCTCTTGGGGCCTCCACCTCCCGAGTTCTTGAAACGGAGTCCTAAGTGCTCTCAGTACTGGGATAGTCAAGGTAATGTGCCAGAAGCCCAGTTCATCCACCTTGAAAAAAAAAAGCAGAATAGCATAAATCTACGCCAGCCACTATATGGAAACATTTTGCTAATGCCGCCACTGTAGGAAATTGGAACGGCTCCATTCCGATCCCTGAGCAATCATTCGATAGTCGTGAGCAGTGGCTTCATGGAGAGGATCGGGCTCTTTTTCTGCATTTTATACGCAGCACGTTATGCTGGATACCAGAAGAGAGACCCACTGCCGAGGAGCTGGCATTTGACGAGTTTTTGATGCAGCCCTATGCAGCCGCATTTTCGAAAGCATTGGCCGAGGATTAACATAGAAGAATTATGTGACTATGCCAAGATCCTCTATGATGGAGTGCATTGTTTTATCAGGCCCAGTCATATGTCAACGCTGGCGGCTGCCTAACTCATCGATGTTTTCTGGATGGTAGAACGTTCATTAAGACGGCGGCTCACCCTCTCCCAAATCTCCCAGGTTTCTACCCTTGTCTCTGCAACGTCACTGAGCATAGCCGCCGGGCCCCAAACTTAAGAGTCTCCCGCCCCGTAGGTTGAGCCGTGCTAGCAAATCGAGCAGAGAGAAAATATGCGGGCATGTATCGACGAATGTGGCATCAGATATGCTCGGATAGCTTCGGCAAGCATTTCGATTGGAGATTTGTATATTTAGATACTGTATAATTTATCAGTTCAACTCATAATGGCCCTGCTATACTGTTGCTGGAATATCCGTTCTCGCTGCTGAAGTCCGACCGCCGTTATCGCTGCTTGGGGTTTCGACCTATTCTATCCTTCTACTCCTCATCCTTCCCCTACCCCAATCTTTCGCTCAACGTTTACAGCTGTCACATGCATGTCCGTCCGCCACAGGGTCTTATGTTTGAGCAATGGATATCGAGTTGGAAATTGAGCATTAGAAGGGGTGGAGTGGAAATGTCGGGGACGTGCATGAAGGAGGAAGTGGAGATGACACGGTGGAGAAGGTAGAATAACATGATCCTCTCAATTAAAAAGTGGAGAAGGATATTATTCGAAGATATGCTTCAACGAATCCTATTGCGCACATATTCTTACATGCCGTCGAATACTCGAGGTACATATACATCGAGACTGTTGGGCCTTCGCTGGCGGGTCTTAAGTTGCGCCTGGGATGTAAATCATACTTGTTCATAGCTCATGAAAGGGCCATAGTTTTCTGGCATAACTTTCACTGCCCCCAGACTCCTTGATACTCTCCATCCACTGGTCGAAAAGAACTTTATGATCCTTCTTCGCTGTTTCCCAATTCTTGGCGGGGACCCACCCGTCTGAATCTGCGTCCAGGGCGCGCTTGAGGAACATCTTCAACTGCTGAAACTTTTCGAAATCTTCATACTGCTCTGCGTGCTCGGCGAGCTCTTCTAGCGTTGGTTGGTACGGACAAGAACCAGGAAGCCGCAGCTCAGTCCAGCGTTGCGAGAGCTTGATCAATTCCTGCCGCAGAGCTGCCGCACTGTCTCTCCAGGATGCGTCGCAATAGCGGAAAGTCCTGAGCAGGGTCTGGTCCATGGCTCTGGCATGGTGGAGTTCTGGAAGATAGCCTTTCAGCACAACTTCGAAGGTTTGCGTGCAGGTCCAGACATCTTTCAAGTGTCTTTTCCTTGCAGCCTCTACTTCTGGATCTTTTACCACAGTTTCCTTAGTTACTGCTGCGCTTGGACTATCATCCTCTGCGGAAGACAATAACTCTTCCAAGATTGGGACGTCGGCTGCGGGATCCTCAACTAGATCCGGCGTCTCGTTCGCGTAGCAGAATGTCGGTTCGATACTGGTAGACTGCCAATCGATAATTGCGGTAATACAGGAAGGATCTTCCTCCGAGACATAAATGTTTCTTTTATGGAGGTCCGGGTGAAGCAATGTTGGACTAGTCACCCGTTCAATGACCGGGGCTTTGATCAATTCCTCATTTACTTTCTCACTGATATTCAGGAGACGCAGATGCTCTTGCACAGATCCGCGATAAGGTAATTCGTCCACGACGCCGCCAGTCTTTGGTACTCGCGAGAAACCGGCATCAATGAGGCCAGAGCAGTAGGCTTGTAGTCCAGTCCCTAGGGAAAGAAGATCAAAATTAGTCGCGGAAGGAGTCTTGTAAAGTTATTATAGGAGTGGATCGACATACATGGCCCTCTGTTAGGAGGCCGTTCGGTATAAAACCGAGACTCTCCAGCGTTACAGTCCCAGTATTGCGGACCACAATGAGGTCCTATGCAGAAACCTTCGGCGAATTCAATTTTTGATTTCGGGTCAATTGGTGCGTCGGCAAAATAGAGACTTCCGTACGCCGGAAACGGAAGCTTTGCCATCTCAGTCACCATGAAGGCCAACTTTTTGACGCATAGCATGTGGTGATGAGGAGTCACAGAAGGCCATTTCTCATGTAGCCGAACCCCAGGTGCGTGTTCCATTATGATATACTCGCTACCAATAGCATTGTTGTCATCGTCGCTCCAGTCGAGGACTTTGGGAATCGGTATCTTTGTGAACGATCTTACTGAATAGTGCGTTAGCCAATGCCTTCAAAATGTTCGCGTACACTTTCTACCATACCATAAGTCATGGTCGCCACTTCGGAGTTGGTAACCAATCTTCGCGGACCTGCAATACGGAAGGGTACTCTAGTCACGACTCGCTCTCCATTGTCCAGGTACAAAATGAAAACCCGGTTGAATCCTCCCTCCCTCTTCTCATAACGAATGACTTTGGTGGCTCCGGAACACGTGTTCACAGCCTTCCTGCATAAGGCGGAAAAGTCGAACTTGACGTAACGGGCTTCACGCTGCAACTTATCGCGACTCAGCCAGCGGCCAGTGGTATAAAGGTAAGGGTCAGTCGCTTTGAAAATTTTATTTAGCACGTTCCCTGGCAGTGTGTAGATTAAGCTTACAGTCTTGCAGATATTCTTCAGTCTCTCCACCAAAGGTTGTGTGAAGAGCTCTACTGCTGACTGCTGCTGTAAGCATGGGCAGTGTGGTTTGGCTTGTGAGTGCAGGTTGATAAGTTCGTCGGAGTCGTCCTAACATAGCTACAAGAAAGTAGGATGCCGGCTAGTAAGGAGTAGAAAAATAATGAATGACAGGACTTCTCATCCTAGCTTTATGGAAGACACGGGAAATGCCGCAAGTGTCGAAGGAATGCTAGTTTGTGTGGATTTGAACGACTTGTTGCAGACTGGAGTCGAATGAGTGCTTGTCAGATTGGTTTGTGTTTACATACGTTGAAGTTGAAATGCGAAGTTCGGGACGTCGCTAATTTTAGCCGGCGTCAGTCGCAGGCGGATCACCTTCGGCTCATCTTCGGCTCACCTCCCTTCACTCGCTGTTCAGCCTGCTCACAGGTCAGTTCTGAAGCCATATTAAACGACTATAGGACGGAAATATGGTAATGCTGCTGATCCTACAGATTCGTACTGCACAGCGTCTCCTGATGTGAATATTCTTGAGGTGCTTTACTCGTTTTCTCTTTATTCGTCCTTGGCCACTTGTGATGCTTTCCCCAGGTCTGTCCATAACTTTTTATCAATCACATGAAATTCGTGACAATAACCTCCGAGCACATTCGATCCTATGAGTAAAGATGTCGCAGTGTCAATTCATAATAGAGGTTCTGGACAACATGAGATTTCGAATGCCAGTGCGAAATAGCGAGTGTATTTGATCACCAGTTATTCCTGAAAACACACACCCGTCCACCGACTGCTACATCCAAAATTATACATTCATGTTTACTGGAGAGCGAGAGGTACGAACTTAATGACTAAGCATGCAGATTCAGCTTGCTGGCTTGTTGGCTTTGTTGGTTGCAGCCTTCTGATGACACAATGAGCAGCGAATCAAAGTCACTGTGGACCTCGAAACAACACACATCCTCTGCATATTTATTTTTCAACAGAACTTCGCTAAATCACTAAATCATATGTACATCCATCACAGAGAGTGCTCAATATAGACAAGTGTACTCGTTGATATGTCGAATTTAGCCGCTTCAATGTCCGTATCACCCAGGCACGCTCTGGGAGGGCTGGCGGGTGCCAGGCGGTAAGATAGACATCAACTCTCTAAGTTCAAATCATTAATGACCAAATTATATCTACATGCGCCTCCTTTCTCCTGCAAGCTAGTATTGCAAAGCGAATCTCTATCAGTGTAGTTAATAGTGGAACGGCCGTGGAACGATGTCGTTTTAAGGCTCTCTAACCGACTAGCGTTTTAGCCTTATAAAACGCACTACAGTGCGTTTTATAAGGCTATAAACGTACGGAACGAGGTAGTTACTAAGAACGGACTAATAAACTAAGTATAAATTTACTTAATTTTTGAAATATTAAAAATACTTATTAAAGTATCTTTTTAAAGTGTCTTTTTAACTATTATATTAAATAAACTTATAATATAACCTTATAATTAAGTAAAAAGATAAAAAAAAGTACTAAAAAGTACTAAAAACACTAAAAACACTAAAACCACTAAAACCACTAAAATTTATATATTAATTTATTATTTAAATAGATTTAATATTATACTTTAAAGAATTATATTTCTATTACTAATAGTTAATATATAATAATTTGATAAATACCCTGCTAAGCTATTTTTAGTTAAGAATATATAAGCTAAAACTAAGTAAGATTAACTTTTTAAGCCTTTTTAATATTATAATAGGCTACGACTTAAATACTTATATAATAAAAGAGGTAGTGTCGTGCACCTGACGTACCTGAGGCACTCCTTAAGGCGCTCCAGCTAACTAGAGGCTACTTATATAACTAGAACTCCTAGAGCTTCCTTTTATAAGGGAGCTCTAGAATACCTTAATAAATCAAGACTTTTATACTATATAAAGCTCCTTCTTATAGTATACAATAGTTAAGAGTCATATTCGCTTATTTAAGCTACTATATAAGTATATTATATAGTATAAGTAAAGTTATAAGTAGTATTAAGAGATACTTACACTACTACTTAAAGAACTCTTTTAAATACTTCCCTGAATTTCCTGAAATACTCTTAACGCTATTAGTTCTATAAAAAGCCTCTTTAATATATTAATATACTTTTAAGATAAGTTAATTAAATATAAGAGTAATACTCTTAATTAAAGAAAGTAGTAGCCTTAGTAATAAACGACCTTTTAGTACTATACTAAACTTAAAGGAATTTAGAGATTTATTAACCTTAATATTAATAATATTAAAAATATTATTAAGTAACAACTGAATCTTTCAAGTATTAACGATTTTATATAAGAGAAGATAAATAGTCACCTTAATAAGTAGATAGCGTTATTAATATAAGCTAACTTAGATTTACTAGTAAAATAAAACGCCGCTACTACTAAAGAAAGAAAGAGTATAATAAAACTGCTAGTATCTATAAGTAAGCCCTTAAAAGCTAAGTTTAAAGATATTAAGGTACTTTAAAAAGCTTAAATAAGGGAGTATTTAAATAAGCTAGCTAAATAGATAGCGCTTAATAACTATATTCAGAACCTCTTTAACTAGGTAAATAGTACTATTAGCTAGTCTATTCTAACTAACGCAATTAATAATAATATAGCTAAAGGCGCCGTAAGACTATAAGCACTAGTTAGGTCTATTAAGCGTGATATAATACTTTCAGACGCGGTAGTACTAACCTTTATTATTTCAGACTATACTAATATATTTAGTTTACTAATATGTTAAGATAAGAAGTCGCGAATTAAACCTTATATATAATATAAGCTATAGTAAAAGAACTTCTATCTTATAAGAGCGTATAATATTCCTGATATATAAAGAGTACGTAATATATAAGCTTTTTTAAACGCAGTATCAGTTTAGTTAGAGACTTAGGCTATTTAAGCACTCGCTAATATTATAAAAGATAACACTTTAAGATATCAGTATAGTATAACGCTAAAGGAGTATAGTCTAGCGTTTATAGCGAATATAAAGAAGTACTACCGGAACAGAGGCAAGGGAGTTAATAGTTTCTATACTACACTAATACTAGGTAGTCGTTTTAATATAAGAAGCTTATAAGACTATTCCGGAAGCTCTCAGAATTACTCCCGTTTAAATCAAGGAGATAGAAAAACTAACTACTTTTATAGAATTAGATACTAGCACCTTTTAATTAAGTACTAAAAGCTCTGTTTTACCTATAATAGCTTTTAAGCTAATAGTATAAGATTCCGTCTAAATAACAAGTAAATTAAGAGGATTCGTAAGACTATCTAAGTACTTAAGTACGTAAAACTACGCTAAGAGATCTTTAAAGAAGGCTAGACTACTATCTCTATAGCTTAAATTACTAAGAAGAAGCCTAGTAAAGACTAAGAACTGTCGTCTTAGTAAGCTAAAGGGAAGTACCCTAGAAATATTAATATAGCTACTATTAATTTAAAGCTTTTAGACTTTAAAGAGATACTTAAAATCTATACTACAGACTTTATTAATATTCTTTACACACTCTTAGAGAGTACTTTAGTTAATAACTACAGCGCTTAATACTTAGTTAATCATAAGAATAAGCTAGTTCTAAGTTTTTTTAAGAGATCAACTAATAATAACTATATAAAAGCTAAAACATAACGAATTTCAGTAGTTAGTAGAGGAAAACAAGTATTTAAGAACTCCTTAGCTAAGCTAAATAGTCTAAATACTTAAGACTTATTATTTAATAATATTACTATAGTCCGTGATTTCTATATTAATATTATCTTAGAGGTATTACTAAAAGACACTAAGCTATAGTACTTAGGGAAAGATATTACTTTATAGTATAGGAAAGTTCAGATAAGTGTAGTTATTAAATAGCTAGTTTAAAAGTTCAACTTAACTTTCTTTAAATATAAACCTTTTAGATACTCTTATTACTCTTATAACTTAGTAACCTTAATACGCACGCTTATTATAATATACCTGACTTTAAGTTATAGCTTAAATAAGTAAGGTTTCTAATCGTTAAGTTAACTACTTAAAGAGCGTTCCGTAACTCCGCAACTATAGCACCTACGTACTAATTATTTTAGAGAGAGTGCTTTATAGGCGTTACTTAAAGTAGGGAAAGGAATACAACTTAAGGGAGTATTAAGAATCTAGTATAAGAACTATATTATTACACACGCTAGAAATATCATATTAAGATAAAAGTTAGAGAATAAGGTAGCTAAGCTGTTCTACCGAATCCTTTAAGACTTATTTAACTTTAATATAAGTTATAATAATACTCGCTAGCTACTTATTATTAAGAACAAGTATAGTAAGAAGCTCTTTAACTATACGTTACTAAGTAAGTTAGCTAGTCACGTTATACTAGTCTTAAAAAACTTCAAGTATTAGACTAAGCGTTAATATAAACTATTAGTCTATATTATTTAATATGATAATAATACCTTAGTTATAGCTATTTAAAGCACGTTAAGGTATAAAGAATAGACTACAAGAGAAGGGATAGAGGTAAAAAGTCCCCTACTATATACTAAAAAACCTATAAGCAGCGTAGAGCGCGTAAGATAAGAGATTATCACTAAATCTATTAAGATACACGTTTAAGTAAACCTACTAGAGAAGCTATCATGCACTTAGCGCACCTGAGGCACTCCCTAAGGCGCTCTAGCTAACTAGAGGCTACTTATATAACTAGAACTCCTAGAGCTTCCCCTTATAAGGGAGCTCTAGAATACCTTAATAAATCAAGACTTTTATACTATATAAAGCTCCTCCCTATAGTACACGATAGTTAAGAGCTATATTTACTTATTTAAGCTATTATATAAGTATACTATATAGTATAGGTAAAGTTATAAGTAGTATTAAGAGATACTTATACTATTACTTAAAGAACTCCTTTAAATACTTCTCTGAACTTCCCGAAATACTCTTAACGCTATTAGTTCTATAGAAAGCCTCTTTAATATATTAATATACCTTTAAGATAAGTCGATTAAACACGAGAGTAATACTCTTAATTAGAGAAAGTAGTAGCCTTAGTAGTAGATAACCTTTTAGTATTATATTAAACTTAAAGGAATCTAGAGATTTATTAACCTTAATACTAATAATATTAGAAATATCGTTAAGTAATAACTAAATCTCCTTAGTATTAATAATTTTATATAGAAGGAGATGAATAGTTGCCTTAGTAAATAGATAGCGTTATTAATATAAGCTAACCTAGATTTACTAGCGAAATAGAATACTACTACTACTAAGGAAAGAGAGAGTATAATAGAACTACTAGTGTCTATAAGTAAGCCCTTAAAAGCTAAGTTTAAAGATATTAAGGTACTTTAGGAAGCTCGAATAAGAGAGTACTTAAATAAGCTAACTAAATAGATAGCGCTTAATAACTATATTTAGAACCTCTTTAACTAAGTAAATAATACTATTAGCTAGTCTATTTTAACTGATGTAATTAATAATAACACAGCTAAGGGCGCTATAGGACTATAAGCGCTAGTTAGGTTTATTAAGCGTGATATAGTACCTTTAGACACAGTAGTACTAACCTCTGTTATTTCGGACTATACTAATACACTTAGTCTGCTAATATAATAAGATAAGAAGTCGCGAATTAAACCTTATATATAGTATAAGCTATAGTAAAAGAACTTCTGTTTTATAAGAACGTATAATATTCCCGATATATAAGAAGTATATAATATACGAGCTTTCTTAAATATAATATTAGTTTAGTTAGAGA